AAAAATAAAGTTGGAATCTGCCAAAGAAAACTTTCATTAAAATATGGAATTCATACCCAAGTAGCAAACAATATTGGCGTAATATTGCCGCGATATTGGGTATCTTGGCTAATCTTGGCCAAGATATCCGATATTGCGCCAATATTGGTAAGAGTAATGAAATTCTTTTATTCGACATTTACGGATTGAATTACGAGAAGTGGTTGTAATTGATTTAAAACATATTGCATCATGAGAAGAATAGAAAAAATATTGCTATACTTAAGTATCAAGATTAAAATAGTAAGTTTACTCTTAAATCAAAACACTTTGAGAAGATTTCATCTATAAAATATAAGTTTTATAGTCTATTTATTTTGTTACAGATATTTGTTCAAGAAATAAATACGTCATCATCATCATCATCATCATCATCATCATCATCATCATCATCATCATCATCATCATCGTCATCGTCATCATCATCATCATCATCATCATCATCATCATCATCATCATCATCATCATCATCATAATCATCATCATCATCATCATCATCATCATCATCATCATCATCATAATGTCTTTTATTTTATATAGCATTTTATTTTATGCAATAGTTTAATGCAATGTTACAGGTAATAAAAAAATAAAAATTCACACAATAAGTAATGCTGAAAATAGTAAAAATTATATAAATTCGTCTTTGAAATCATGCTTTTAAAAGTAACTGAAAGCAGCTGAAAATAAGAATTTTTTTTTTTTGGTAATTGTCTTATTTACAATATTGTTTTTGTTTTATTTACAGTATTGTCTTTGTTTTTTATCTAAACAGCTATATTTAACTCAAATATAGTAAATGTTGATTGTTTAGTATGGTTTCATCTCTTTTTTATACTTTTTTTTGACAGTTATGAGATTGCTTTAGAACAGAATTATCTGCAATATATTGAGTATTTTCGATTAAATTTTATTATTAAAAAATAATAAAAAATATTGCCTTCTACAAATTTTTAATAATTAAAATTTATAATAGTTTTCTTGTTTAAGTGATACTATAGTAATAGGCTGCGTTATTCTTTTGAGTTAAACAGGTCTAGGAGATGGCAATCTAGGAGATGACAATGATCATAGAATATAGTTACTTAATATAGTTATATATATTATATATATCAGGATAATATTGTAAACTATATTACACCAATATTGGCCAGTATTATATCCCCATTATTGGCGCGATATTATTTACAATATTGGCGCAATATTATAAACTATTGAACTGAACATTTTGCCAATATTGGCCAATATTGACTTGACAGTATTGGCGCAATATTGTATCGCCAATATTGGCTAATATTGACTTGACAATATTGGCGCAATATTGTAGCACCAATAATGGCCAATATTGGCAAAATGTTCACATTGCAATATTGGCCCGATATAGTTTATAATATTGCACCAATATTATAAACAATATCGCCCCAATATGGCGCCAATATTGTTTGCTACTTGGGTAGAAATTAGGTTTATAAAATTTTTAACATGCATGGACTTGAATATTTTAAAAAAAAGAAAGCACCAGAAAGCTCTGAAATTCAAATAATTAAACAAAAACAACGACTGTAAAAACTTTCGAAAACTTTTTTCCAACCATCAAATGAGTATGAAATTATTGTGGATGACAACCCCTATTTTACATTGAGCAGCCAAAACACACCAGGAAATGATGGTTTTTATAGTCAAGATAAAGACAAAACTGAAAATAATATTAAATATAAGTTTAAATCAAAGTTTCAAGCGAAAGTTTTAGTATCGATTGCAATAAGTAGATTTGGTTAATCAAAGCTTTTCTTTGCAATTAAGAATAATGCCATTGAAGCAAAAATATATTCCAAAGAACGCATCGAAAAGAAACTTGTTCCCTTCATCAATTTGCATCCAAAAATATAAAATATATATTTTGGCTTGATGGTGCAAGCTGTCATTATGCAAAGCTAACAATTGAAACTTATAAGAAGTTTAATATAACCTATGTTTCTAAGGATGATAATCCACCCAATGTACTGCAATTAAGGCCCACTGAGAAATTTTGGGCTCACCTAAAACAGAGAGTCTATTCTTATGATTTCAAAGCAAAAAAACTAAATCACCTGAAAAAGAAAATTCAACTTAAGTAACAAGATTTCAGTCCACTTTGAAAACCTTCTTTGCTCGCTTAAGACTAAAATTCGCTACGCTGTTAATCATGGGACACTCAGTTATAAGATGAGCTATTATTGCTATACTTACTTATTTGATCAGTTGTGAAACAATAATATAATTTGAATGACAATTATAAGCAATTCTAGGAGTAGTGGTTAGGATGCTACAAAAACAATATTCAAAATGTATTATCACACCCCATATGTGAGTAATGTAATAAAATAAAAATGGATTTAAAGGCCCCTTAAGACCTTAATCTTCAAAAAAAATTTTTGATAATAATAGGGACTTATTTAAGTCCCTTGAACAAGTCCTTAAGAGAAGTACAATAAAAAATCTGCACTGATATTTTAAAGAATATCTATTCAACTATTGTATTTCGATATACTAAATGTTATCTATATTTTTAAAGTACATATATTAATATTCTTAAATTTCACTGAAATTTGTGCATGTAAACCCATGATGCATTTTACACTCAATATTAGCTTTTGCATGGTCTTCGGCTTTTTTGGTAGCTCTAGTCCATTTATTTTTGAAGTGGTGTTTTTAGCTTCTTACATTGAACCTTAGTTCTCCATTGATAATAGACCAATATCTTTTGATAGGACATAATTCGTGAAAATTTGGTGGATTGTAGTGTTTTTCAACGAAACCTACTTTATATTCTGTCAGCTAGTTTAAACTTGTCCAAGAGTAGTGACATGATGCTAAATTGAGCCAAAATAATGGATTACTTGTATGAGATCTTAAAAACGGCAAAAGACGCTTCTTAAGGTAATCTTTGATGTAGATTTCGGTGTAAATTGTTCCTGTAGTCACAAAACAAGATCTTCTTTCACCCCATTTACAAATTGCTTGCTAAACTAAGTATTTTATAGCCAGTTTTTGCATTCCAACGGATTTATATTTGGTTCAGTTTCCTGAGATTAATTGCTGAATAATATTGGTGTTCTGGAAGCAATCGGTTTTATGTGGCACTATAAATTTCATCATCAATAATCAAACAAAATATTTTAGCACATTTTTTTTTATAGAACAGCTTTGAACAACGAATTCCAACATTTTCTTGCTTCATAAGTAACTTTTTTCTTTTTATAAGATTCATAGCCACAATATCTCTTCACTCTTTGTATAGTGGAAGCAATTTGTATAGTGGAATCTTAAATTTATTTGCTAAAGTTCGAACAGAAATCTCTAGGTTTCTGTCTAAGGTATCTTTCACTATTTTAAAAAATCTCATTGAACAAATTTTTTTTTCTTTTATTTCCTAATTTCCTTTTGATTGTACCAGTATCATTAAATAGTTTTATGACACTCGGCACTGTTCTCAAAGCAATCTGTAACTATTTAGAAGTTGTTTTGTTTGATACACCAAGATTTTCTAACAGAAAATGCAAATATTTTTGCTTGTTACTTATCTTGATTTGATGACAATTCAATTAAAACTAATTGTTTTAAAATCAGAGTTGTTTGAATTTTGAATAAGACTAATATAATGATATTTTAAAACAGTTAACTAATTAAAGTAATCCACATTTCTGTAACCACCACATCAAAACACAGATTTTTTTTGGTACATTATTTTTGGTACATTACATTTGGTATATTATCCAAAAAAAGTTCTTTGAACTGTTGAACAAAGACATAAAATATATAACCTTGGTTCCACTAATTTAAAAGTGGACAGAAAATCAAGATTTGTTAAATTTAACTGATACAAACATTCATATTTTATTTAAACTTTTGAATATGCTTTAAGAATGTTTTATAATGAGATTATTAAAAAATTACTGAAAGTATTAATAAAAGTTTTAATTTTTAGAACTTTATCAAGAAGCTGGAATAAACAAGCAGATGAAATTATGCAGTATTTCTATATAATGATTATCATTATTTCAAAACTTTTGTTTAACTGTTCTTTATTTGAGACCCAGATTGAAATCTAGTTTTATTTTTATTTTATATTCATTTGAGATCAAGATTAAAATGTAAATTGTAAGCTGATGATATAAAGCTAATTAACAGAACTAGATCAGCTTCTGATTGAAAAAAGAATCAAAATGAGAAATGTAAATTTCAGAGTCTTTTTTCTGATTGAGAAAAGACTCTGAAATTTACATAAGAATTAAAGTTATCAAAACCGATGAGATATTTATACTTGTCAATCTTTTTTGTTTACCTGTTTTATTGTAACTTGATTGATCAAGTTGAGGTTTAGTCGTTAAAATGTTTTTGTGAAAATATGACTAATATGAATTACATTATTATATACTATATTATATCTATGTACAAATCAATGACTGGTGGTCACTACTTTTTTAAGACTTTAACAAGTATAAGAGAAAAAAGAATATATATATATATATATATATATATATAGAATAAGGGAAAATAAAAAAATAAAAAGTAAAAAAAAAACCTTGTTTGATTACTATTAGTACAAATGAATATTAACAACTTTTATAATTGCTTTGAGAGCAAAAGCCTTGGATTTTGTTGTAATAGTCATTTATTTCATCAATTAAAAAAAACTCATACTACTAGGGATTATTAGGTACAAGGCTTACAAAGCATACATACATATTTGTCAATTAAAAAACATTTATAGCTTACTAGGCATACCTTTAGATATTTATAATAGTGCTGCAAAAAAAAAAAAAGAATTCAGTATAGTGCTGTTTAGAAAGTATTTTAAATAAAAAATAACTATTCACAAGAACATGTGTTAATATATGAATATGTTTGTATAGTTTACCTTTGGTAAGTTGGAAATAAATCCATGTATATTGGCTTTTGTAGCAGCCAAAACAATATCATCCATACTAATTTCTTTGTCTAAGCCATATACAATATTTTCTTTAATTGTTCTTGCAAATAGCACTGGTTCTTGTGAAACCAGTCCTAAACATGAGCGCAACCATTTCAAGTTGAAATCTTTAATATCATAACCATCAATCATCACTTTGCCAAAATCAGGATCATAAAATCTTTCAATTAGACCAACACTTGTGCTTTTACCACACCCAGAGGAGCCAACTAATGCAACTTTCTTCCCACACTCAATTTTAAGGGAGAAATCGTTCAAAACTTGAACATCAGGACGAGTAGGATAGTTGAATTTAATGCCACTAAACTCTATGTCTCCATTTATGCACTCCTGTGTAATTTTTTTTTTTAAATATACAAATGTAACAATTTGAAATAGAAAAACTTATTAATTTAAAAAAAAAATTAGAAAAAGAAAAAAAGAAAGATTTAATAATTTTGAAAAAAAAAAAACAATAAAAAAAAGAAAAAATGATAAAATAAAACTTTGTACTGCTAAGAAGAATTTAATTTGTTAAAAAAGAAAAAAAAAATGATAAAGTAAAACTTTGCATTGCTTACTAAGATATTTCCGCTATTACTGAAAGTTTCAATTTTTGGAACTTTATCAAGAAGCTGGAATATACGAGCAGCTGAAACTTTAGCTGCAACATAATTTGGAGCCATTGATGCAATTTGTCCAGCAATCATAGCACCAAAAACAGTAGCAAGAACAACTCTACAAATCATAAAAACAAATAACAAACAATAGAAAGTACTCTACAAAAAATAAAAACATATAACAAACAATAGCAAGTGCTACTAATAAACAATTTTACATGTTTCTTTTTTTTTTTTTTTAAATCTTCACTTTCAACAAGGCTGCAAGCAACCACTATTAGAGTTGGAAGTTACTGGAATTGTATGAATCAGGAAAATAAGATGAAGGGAGCCAAATTTAAAGAGCTGATGTTCAAGGAAAAAACAAGACTAAATTAGGATTTTTGAAACACTTAGGAACAGTCACAGTAAAAGGATGAGACTTGATTAAAAGTTATCAGATTTTAAAATGTAAATTTTATAAGAAAAAATTACAGCATGTTTGTATAAATTTATATATAGTTAGTTAGTTAGTGGTAAACTGCGTGGATCTTATCCACAAGCTAAGACGTTGTAATGTTCAGCTATAGCAGCCCAGTATTTTTTCTTTTTTTTCTTTTTCTTTTAAATTAAAATTTTCTTATTTTTCTTAAGCCATTCGTCTAAACTTGCTTTAAAAATATTCAAATTCTTGGAATCTACAACTTTTTCCGGAAGTTTGTTCCAAATTTGGCAAACTCTTTCAAAGGCATTTTTCAATAACCCCAGTATTTTTGAAGCTTTGTTAACACATACTTGCATTTGATGCTTCCACCTCATATCCGGTTGTACAAAGACACCTAGATCTCTTTCTAATACACTGTTTGAGAGGTCATAAATCATTCCATTTATATTGATTGTGTATATTTTATCAATACCTTGAAAAACTTTCTGATTGCCGAATTTCATCACCTTACATTTTTTGCAGTTTAGTTCCATACCCCAATTTTTGCACCATTTCACAATGTTGTCAAGGTTGGTTTGTATTTCCGCTTGTTTATTAATGGAATCTTCTATGGCTATTATTTTGCTATCATTAGCATACATTTTAAATGTGTTTAGCACAACTTCTGGGAGGTCATTTATGAATAGCAGAAACAACATTGGACCCAAAACGGAACCCTGAGGCACGCCACTGGTAACTGATACCCATTCTGAAACTGTATTACTAATAGCAACTCTTTGTTTCCTATTTGCAAGAAAACTTTCAATCCAGTTATATATTTTACCAGTTATACCATACGCTTTAATCTTTGTCAATAATCTTTTGTGTTCTACTTTATCAAAAACCTTTGCGAAGTCAAGATATATGACGCATAACGGTTTACCTTTTGCAGTTTCAAATGTAATTGTGTCAATTGTCTCAATAAGATTTGTTGTGCATGATTTTTTTGGAACAAAACCAGTTTGCTCCTCAGATATAAGTCTATTTGAAACTAAATGTTGCAGAATTGTGTCCCAAATGAGCTTTTCGAACATTTTAAAAATCACAGATGTTAGGGATACTGGTCTGTAGTTTTCTGATTCAAGTTTTGATCCTCCTTTGTAAATTGGTGATATATTTGCAACAGACCAGTGGTAAGGAACACATCCAGTGTCAAAGCTTAATTTGAAAATATGAACAATTGGGTCCACAAAACCTTCTGCAGCATGCTTTAAAACAAACGGACTAATTTCATCAAAACCCATCGCTTTTTACTCATCTATACCTTCTAACATTTTGAGAATTTTTTCATAGGTAATCATATTAGATAATTTACTGCAATCACACTGATTTTCGCATCTTTGCAAGAATTTGGCTATTGGTTGGTCATTATCATTAACAAAGACTGACTGAAATTGCCTATTTAATATATCTGAAATGTCTGATATCTTTTTTGTTCTTGATTACTCTAATTTGCGCTTTAATGTTTTATTTTCTATTTACGTATGAGAATAAAAGCTTTGGTGTAAGCTTTGCTCTCTTTACTAAATCCATTTCGTATTCTCGAGTTGATCTTTTGATTTGCTTTTTAACATTAGCACACATTTTGTTAAAAGCCTTTCGAGATTCTTGACTTTGCCGATGCAAATTTGAATAAAACATAGAATGTTTAATATTTATTGCTTTTTTAACTTTTGCATCCAACCAGGGTTGACTATTCTTTTTTTTATTATTCAAAATAGGAATAAACAATCGACAAGATTCATTATATGTGTGCAAAAATAACTTATAACATTCACAGGCTGATTTTTTATAAAAATGCTAAACCCAGTTGACTTGTTTCAAGTATTTATTCATTTGAAAAAAATTACCTTTTTTTAAAGCAAAACTTATCTTTTTTGAGTACTGTATTGTTACTAAGACTAGTAAATTATTACCAAGTGATGGAGTAATGGTATCTTCACTTTTCATAGTGGCCTAACTTTGCATTGAAAACTTGCATTGAAAAACCGAATTGCATTGAAGAAAATCAATGCAATTCGGATTGCAAACTAAAACAAGATCAAGGGTGTTAACTGCTGAAACAGAGTCATTTTGTTTGAATGTTGGAAAATTTACTATTTGGTATAGAGAACAATCATTTAAAACTTTAATAAATTCATGTTCAATTGAGTTTCTATTTGAATGAATTATTGGACCATCATCTGTCACATTTACAATTTCTATATTTGTAAGTCTTTTATTTACATAAATTTACAACACCTCCTCTAATTCTATCTCTATCTGCCTAATACAGTTCATAGCCATCAATTATTTTAATCGAATCCAATTTAAACCAAGTTTCTGCAATTGCAATAACATCAATTTCATATGCCAAAGCAAGTGTGGACAGCTCAGATAATTTATTAGAGTTACAGGAGGTAGCATTAGTATAATAAAATTTAATTGGTTTAGTTAGTACTAGTATTTTGCTTTAAATAAATAGGAAGTTTTACATTACTCAGGTTTTGGTAAGATTTATAAGATTGGCTGATATGAGCCCCTCCGGGCCTGCTTGGCAACCCTCTCTTTGACAAATGGATGAACTTTGCGGTTGCCAATGTCTTTTGTTGTAGCGACGTCAATGCACAGTAATTTTCCGCTTCTAATAACAAATCGAAAGGGCTGGTCTAGGTTATTATTGCGTTGCAAGTCCTCGTTCGCCTCCTTTCTTTATTTAATTGTGCAAATTCAGCCTGTTCATCAGGAGTGCGGTCAGGCCGTATATATACTTTTTTGTATATATACATATATATATATATATATATATATATATATACATATATATACATATATATATACATATATATACATATATATATATATATACATATATATATATATATATATATATACATATATATACATATATATATATATATATATATATATATATATATATATATATATATATATATATATATATATATATATATACATATATATATATATATATATATATATATATATATATATATATATATATATATATATATATATATATCAGCAAAAAAATGTGAAAAGCTTTTACAAAAATATACACAGGAATTAAAATAAAAAAAGAAAATATCATAAGGTCAACATAACTTTTTTTTTTTAATTTTTATTATTTTTATAATCTTCTATATTTTACAAAAACTTATAAAAAAATAATATTTGTGCGCAAGAACTTTAATTTATATTTCTTATATGCAAGAACTTTAAGTATTAAAGTAAACAGCCGAGCGAAAATTTCAAAGCTAGAAACACTTATCACTGACTGAGTAAAGGGAGTAATTTGCTGAAAAGGTTAGAGTATAATAAAGTTAAAATAAGTTATAAAATAAGTTAAAATTTTAACAAATTGCCCACTTTACATGGTTAAACAAACATATAGTAACATCAAAAAAATCACATACAAATACTAAACAAATAACAAATCGACAAATAACAAATGATAACATCAAAAAAACCACAAACAAATACTAGACAAAAAACTTGAGAAAAAAGAAATAAAATGAAGGATGGTTTTTAAGTCGTAAACAAACAGTTCTATTTTTATTTACTACTCCATATCTTTTTTTTTTTTTGCTGTAATAGTAATTCTTCGTATTTAGATAATGCCTGTCCAAAACCAAACCCTTATTTGGCATTTGAATTGAAGCCTTGACAGCTATTTATTTTAGTATAATGTCATCAATGATGTTTTAAGACTAAGTACGCAAAGATATTTGTGTATAAGTAAAAAAAAAAACATCAATCCAACTTATTCGCAAAATTACTATTTGTAGCATCTCTGATACATATATTAATATTTCATAAGTATATATAAATATTTACACAAATGTACAAGCATAACTCACTTAAACATATCTTGGAATGGCAAGTCATCATCCTGAACAAGCTTTCCACCAAGAGTGAACGCAGCAGCATTTGCAAGCATAATTATAGAACTAGATAGACCAAATGTTATCCCAAATACAATTGCATTTCGCATAGACTTTCTAAGAAAAAATTTTAATTCAATTTTAGTTTAATTAAAGGATAGTTGGTTCACCATCAGGGCCGCCGAGAGCTTTCACGTTGCCTGGGACGGCAATCCTAATTGGTGCCCTTATTTATCAAATTTTCTATATATTATATATGAAGAACCTTTTTCTTTTTTTTTTTAGGTACATACATTTCATTTGGCGCCCTTGGATATCTGCCGCCCGGGACAAACTGTCCCTCACGAATATCTCTAGTGTGACCGAAGACTAGTTTACTACCATTAATGTTCATTATTATGTTTTAAAAGTAATAATCAAACAATATATTTACTTTGATTAGAAATCTGCTTAATGCTTACAACACATTTAAATTGTTGTATTCTAAAATAATTTTATAATTCAGTTAACAAAAAAAATTACAACTGTATTAATTTAATTTTCTGTTAACATAATTAATGATAAACTGGTACATTTAGGTATATAAAAACAATACCATATCATAATAATTTTTTTGTTTGTTTCAAAAAAGTTTTCAAAAAAATATGTTTTTAAAAAATACTCCATTACAGTTATACAATATTAGTTATAACATAATGTGCCAATATTATTTCTGTTCTTTGAGATGTTTTTATTTGAGATGAAATTTCATTTGTTATTCTTGATATAAAATTTTATTTTTCAACATTAGTTAAAAAATTTATTTGCAATTAAATAAAATTAAAAAAAAAAGATCAAAACTTAATACTATAATAACTGAATACTTTTGAATTTTGTAGTGTTATTTCATTCATGAAATCAAAAATTTTAAATTAGTTCATTCTTATTTATTTCATTAATACATTAGTTCACAATTTAAGAAAAAATTAGTTCTTATCACAAAAAAATTTTATATAAAATTATCATTATTATTTTGTTTATTATGAATATAGAAAAAACAAAAATTCATAACTCGCTGTTGTTTATTTTGTTTTCTTATAGTTCTATGAGAATTGCCATACCAAAAAATTCTTTTTTAATTTTTATACATTTGTAAAAAACATAATTTTATTATGTTAAAATTGATAATTTTATGTCCAAATTGTTTTTTCTATTGTGCTCTTTAACTAACTTATCTAAATTTGATCTTTTCTTAAAAGCTAAATGAGACAATATTTTTATTCTTAACTAAGAAGATTTTATTATTAAAAAACTATCTAACTAATTATTATTAAAAAAACTACCCAACTAATTATTATTAAAAAACTATCCAACTAATTATTATTAAAAAACTATCCAACTAATTATTATTAAAAAACTATCCAACTAATTATTATTAAAAAACTATCCAACTAATTATTATTAAAAAACTATCCAACTAATTATTATTAAAAAACTATCCAACTAATTATTATTAAAAAACTATCCAACTAATTATTATTAAAAAAACTATTCAACTAATTATTATTAAAAAACTATCCAACTAATTATTATTAAAAAACTATACAACTAATTATTATTAAAAAACTATCCAACTAATTATTATTAAAAAACTATCCAACTAATTATTATTAAAAAAACTATCTAACTAATTATTATTAAAAAACTATCCAACTAATTATTATTAAAAAACTATCCAACTAATTATTATTAAAAAACTATCCAACTAATTATTATTAAAAAAACTATCCAACTAATTATTATTAAAAAACTATACAACTAATTATTATTAAAAAACTATCCAACTAATTATTATTAAAAAACTATCCAACTAATTATTATTAAAAAAAACTATCCAACTAATTATTATTAAAAAACTATCCAACTAATTATTATTAAAAAACTATCCAACTAATTATTATTAAAAAACTATCCAACTAATTATTATTAAAAAAACTATCCAACTAATTATTATTAAAAAACTATCCAACTAATTATTATTAAAAAAACTATCCAACTAATTATTATTAAAAAACTATCCAACTAATTATTAAATTAAAAGCTAATTGAAAAAACAGAATTAAGTTTTGCAGTTTTTTGGCTTTAAAATAAAAACTATAAAATTTTATTAAAAAAGTGCTATAACATTTTATTAAAAACCATGTTTTACATGATGTTGACAAATGATAACTTGGGTCATTTGTCTGTCAGGTCAAGCAATTTTTTTTTAGACCACAAGTATCACTAAAAAATGCTTTTTTTTAAAGCTTGTTTATTTGTATATGCTTTTGAAGTTGATTAAAGTAGTAATAAGCTTTTATTTACCTTTTTTTTTCTTCAATTATTTGAGTAACATAGTTTAAGTAAGTATATTTATTTGGATTACCTGGATTAATATCTGTTAACATATATATATATATATATATATATATATATATATATATATATATATATATATATATATATATATATATATATATATATATATATATATATATATATATATATATATATATATATATATATAATAAGAAAAAAGTATATATACCGATAAGGACCTAACAGCATTTCCCTAAATAAATTTATGAAATAAACTTCTTTCCCCAGAGAAGCAACAGTTCTTATATTCATAATAGCTTGTTGAGCTGAAGCACTTGCATTTACTAAATGCTTTTCTTGATCCAGAGCAAAATTTGAAAAGACTTTCATATGTGCAGCACCTGCTATTAACAAAACTGGTGCAAAACCCATCACCAAAAGAGTTAGCTGCCAGCTATAATAAAATGCTATAATCAGAGCTGTAATTCCCATCACAATTACCTGTGTCATTGTATTCAATCTTGAAGAGGTAGCCTTAAAAATATTATTTATAGTTAAAAAATAAATTTTATAAATATAAATACAGAGTACAAAATATCTAAAATTATTTATAAAACAAAGATACACAAGTAATATAAACATACTCCATTTACTGCAGATGCATCTGAAGCAAGTCTTGCTGTCAAAGCACCTGTTGTGTTTTTTGAATCATCAAAAAATGAAATATCCTAAATATTTGTTTAATAAAAAAAAATTGTTACTTTTACACATCCACATTTATACATTTAATAATAAAAAAACAACTTAGTAGAAAATAAAACTTAAAATTTTATATATAAAAAAAAAACTTGAAAAAAATAAAAAATAGAAAGTTACAAAAAAATTTTTAATCTTTTTTTATTTTATTTACAAATGCTAAAGTTATTTCTAAACTTTGATTAATAAAGCTCAGTTTTATTAAAAGGGACAGACATCACTATTCATATTTAATTCTTTGAATTTGAGTCAACATTCAGTTTAATTAGACTCAACAAAAATAAAAGTTATTTATTTGTTATTATAAGGTTTAATTAGATCCAACACAACTATAAATAAATGTAGTCCATAATCAAGCTTCAAGATTTGGTAATTTATTAGTAATTTCTAACTATTATTTTTTTTGTTAACTATTCTATTAGTAATTTGATTTGTTAGCATCTCTTTTAATAGTAAATAGAAAATAACTGCAACAAATTTGAAAATATTTTTCTTATTTCTTCTCTTAACCTTTTGCTATTTGGGTTTTAAATTTCGTTTTTAAGAAACAATGTAAAAAACATTTGAATTTTTTTGTTATTTGACCTGGTTGTATTTTTTTAGAATTTAAAAGGAAGTTGCCAAACTTCCTTTTAAATATTGTGAATAAATAATCATTTTATTATGGAAAATGATGTGGTTCTGATATTAATCTGCCTTTACTATTATATCATTCTCAATCAACCTTAATAATAATTTTTTTGGAGACTTTATTCAAACCCACAGATTTACAGGTGAAAATGTATTTAGAACACTGTAGGGTAGAATACATTAAAAAAATATTATGGGCAATAATATAATATTGATAACAAAATAACTTAACTAAGCATTATTTGAGTACATAAATATAACTTGAAAAATAATTACCTGTCTGAGAACAGCTGTAAACGCTTGCGTTCTAAGTCTACGAGTTAGTATTTCACCAGCAATGCCAAACAAAAAACTCTTAAATAAAAAAGTAATATAACATTATGTAAACAATTTATAGCGGAACAAGTTAAAAACTAGTCATTGGAGTGACTATTAGCATGAAGAAACAGTTATTGTAAAAAGATGCAAATTTGCATCTTTTTACTATAATAAAACTTTTACTATAATAAAAATAAACTTTTTACTATATATTATATATGACCATGCAAGATTGAACCATGACGAACCATGCAAGACAAACCATGCAAGATTGAGTTTTGGTAGGTGAAATAAAAAACAATAGCTTACATGAGCCACAATCATTTACAGAAAAGAGAAAGAAAAGAAACCTTACAACAATGGGACATGGGCTCAATATTAGTAGCTAAAGCAAGTGCAATAATTATAATTTTTTAAATGCAATTCCCTTACTATCTGATTTCTAGAAAAAAATAACTATTTCAGGTTTTCCATGACTTAAGTCAACATTAACCAAATTTCAAAGTTTTCCATATTCAGTAAAAGAGTCCCTTTTGAATAAAAAAGTTGCTTATGAACCAGTCACTTGAAAAAGAAAACTTATCATTTAGTAATTATATTAAACTATGTTTCATAAATTAAATATAATTAACTAAATAACTTACACAAATTATTTATTGATTTTACAACAATATTTTATAAATAAAATGAAATATATCCCTATATAAAGAAAGACCAGTTAACTTGATACAATTTCCTTAAAGTTTAAAAATTATCAGAATAATTTCTGATATTCTAATTATTAACATGGGCAGCTTTTTACCAACCCCATATACTGTTTTGCCTGTTAAACAAACTTTGCTAAATTTTTCTTCTGCACATTGTTCACCATTTAGATGAAAAGATTTTATCGGAAGCTGTTATAAAATAAACCAAACTCATTGGGTTGTAAATATCCTTCAATTCATACCGAAAAAAATTACTGTAATTGCACATCATTTCATGGCAGGGAATAGTTCGAAAAACAATGTCTTTTTTACCACCAATCTACTCGTCTTTCTCACCCTTAACATCCATTATGCTAATGTATTTGTGACCACAAAAACAAATAATCAAAGTGCTGTGTGGTTGCCAATATCAAACAAGAACTTGAATTATAATGAATGTGTGTGTGCACAAGCACACGTGTAACAATTAATTCAAACAATTATTTTTTCAATTATTTAACAATTAATTCAAATAAAAACCTCTTGGTACTCTCCCATAACATGCAGATAGTGAAGAGTAATTTTTTATTGACTGCAAACTAAAATTCTAGAGCATTCTCTCTAATGATGTGTCCACCTATTGGTACATTTTGTTCATGTGCATTCATAAACCATTTATATACAACTTTATCAACAAAATCATGCTTTTCAAAATTTTACTTTAGTCTTTTTTTTTCCAATTGACCATACTCATACTTGCTGATTATGTATTCTCATACTTGCTGATTATGTATTGTTATGCTTAATCCAATAAGTTGAAGTGTTTTAAGGAACATTAAACTTTTAACATTAAACTTTTTGGCAACATACTATTTAGTTGGGTCACTTTCCTTATCTTGAAGAGTAAGATATTTTGCTTTGATTGTCAGGACTGCCTATTTTCATGCAGATGCCATGTTGAAATTTCTACTGCACTACATTGCAATGTGTTAAACTATTTGTTTTGAAAAGCAATCAAATTTTATCTTCAATCAAAGAAAAACATTTTTAATAAACAAAATTTTGAATATTTGCAGTTTCAAATAACTAATGGATATTAGCATGAGTTTGATAAGGAAAATTCTTGGGGAATGAAAATTGCTTCAAGTAAGCAAGAAATTTGAATAAGTAAAGAGTTAATAACCAGGAGTTTATTGTATATAAATTAACATGCAGGAATAAGCATAAATTAATGCATATAGAAAGACTAATTTGTAGGCATAAGCAAATGTATTTTTATCAACAAACACATAGAACTAGATGTAAATGTGTAACTAAAACAATTTGAAAGTAATTTGAATGTCACTATATCTAGAAATATATCAAACCTTTGGAAGTTTTTTATTATTTTGAGTTTTATATACATTATTTCAATAATGGCAAAATATACCTATATATTTTTAAAGATTTTTTACATGGCTTTTTACCATGTAAGTCATGTAAAATATATTGAAAAAATAACTATGTAATACAAATCATATGAAAGATTACAACAAAAAAACTTACAGAAAAAAAAAATCCTATGCAATCAAGAAACCCCAAACCTAAGAAGTAGAGTGACCATTTTACAGATTGTTTGCGAATTTCTTCAGGTGGTTTAGCAAATACCTAAAAACGAGTATTAAAAAATATTTGTTAAAATAAAACTGATGTTGTATCAAAAGATAAATGAATACAAAAAATTACCTCAAATAAATTGCTCAAAATTATAGCAAATAGCACAGGAAATGCCCCAACTAACCCAGCAAAAAACATGCCAGAAACAAGATATGGCCACTCGGTAACATTCAACCTAAAAACTCTTGTAAAAGGAGCAGGTTCAACCTTTTCCTCCTCCTCTTTTTTTTTTTTTTCCTTATCTTTATCTTCTTTACTTTGTTTAACAAGTGAGTTGAGTTTACTTTGTCTCATTGAAAATCGACTTGAGAGCTGTCTATGAAAACTTTCAACAACCTCTTCATCGTTTTTCAAGAAAGAAGTAGATTTAATTTTTTCCAATATTTCTTTTTTTTCTTCATCACCCAGCTCATTAAGGAGGTCAGGAACAACCTCTTCAATCACAGTCTGAAGTAAAACTAATTGGTGGTACAGACCTTTTTTAGAAATTAATTCATGGTGTGTTCCAAATTCAGCAACTTTACCTTCTTTAACAACCACTATGACATCAGCATTTTTCACCGTAGATAAGCGATGAGCAATGACAATTGTTGTACGGCCCTTGCTAACCTAAAAAAAATATATGTCTGAAACTGTAAGACATTTTTATGACTGACATAAATAAGTTTTGTGTTAGATTAGCTATATAGGATAAATTTTTCTTTTAGACGAAGTAACTATGTTTAACTTTATTGTATTAGGCTCATTGCATTTTATTTTCTTTAAAATTGAAGTTAGTTTGACAAGTTATGTTTATTTCATAAAGAAACAGAAAAAAAATTTAACCTATTTAAAATAACCAAAAAAAGTTATTTATCAAGCTACAGGCAAAAACATTTTAAAATTAGTACTTCTCTGACATAATAACTGTCTTGTTGGAAGAAACTAGTGAATTTTTATCTAGCCTAAGAAAGGGCTTCCCCTTGGTAACATAAATAATTTTTTAATAATTAAAAAAATTAAAATAATAAAATAAATAATTAAAAAAATAAAAATAAATAATTAAAAAAAGGTGATAGTCTATGACTTCATTTAGATGATTGAAGAACTTAGTGCAATGTTCCAGCAATTTTTTACTGTTCTGAATGAATCACTATTACAATAATTATTTAAGATATGGTTATGCAACAGCATGAAATCATTATAAGCTGCATCAAGATCAACATTTTGATTGAATATTAAAATGCCATTCTTTTTGTATCTTTGCAAGATACAAAAAGAATGGCATTTATTGAGTGTGATAAGCTGCTGCTGGATATGCCTTATGCATTTTTTTTCACAAAAAGTATCAACCACACTACCAATAGTCAAAACACTTTTTTTTTTTTAAATTTTGAGTAGTAAGTATTCTATTCAGTGACTACATATATTGTTTCGAATTGAGTTGCAAATTTCTATCTTTGAAATTAAAGGTCATAAAATTAGCTTCTAAGTTAATAGTAAGTCAAAATTTCTGAACTGAACAAACCTGTGTATTCAGGACCAAAAAAATGCAAAAAACAATTCTTTATAAACTGAACTCAGTATTCTTTTATATATGTGGTATATAAGATTTGACTTTTTATCTTTAAAATAACCTTTAAACAGAATATGAAAGTATTAATGGCGACAGTAAATTTTGCAAAATATATTTAATATATATTTTAAGCACAAATTGAGAAAATTTTAATATATTTATTAAGCACAAATTGACAAAATAATAGGTCTGATTTTCAGAACACATTTCATGTATTTTTTGAAAACCATTAATTCAAGCGAGATGTAGAAAGGACTTAGTTTGTTGCAGATTACATAATCAAAATATCTTTATTTTAACTTCGTTAAAAAGTTCTAAAAAATCTGTATTTCCTTAGTAAAAATTACATCTTTTTTGTTTTCATTATCATTACTTTCATTAGCATTATTTCATCATGAGATTTTCATTTGCCACTTGGTCATTTTTCATTTGCTATATAGATTTGATGTGCATAGTACATAGCCTTAAACAATAAGTAAGAGATTACATACAATGTCATTCAAAATGCGGTAGTGGTGAAGTGGTAGAGCACTCGCTTCATAAGCAAGAGGTTTTAAGTTTGACTTCCACCACATACCTAAGAGTACAATGCTCAACTTGTTTCTCCGCGCAGCGGCCTTGTTTGTCAAGGTTTGTGTTTCAGAGTTATAGAGTTGAGAGAGGGTTATAATTACAATTAAGTAGCCTCCTCGTCTGTAGTGGCCTGCTCGGCCTCAGGGAGGTGAATTAGAAAAAAATATATATATAAAATAAAAATGAGCATAACTAATTAAGAAACTTTGCACCAACAAAACTGGATTTTGAATGATTAAGAAAAGCGTCTTTTTTACTCCCTAACTACAATGTGTTTATTTAATTTTTTTTTACATTAACATTTATTTATATTGTATTTTATTATTTATATAATTTTAGAGAACAAAAAAAAGGTTTTTAGCTGAAAATCCAGAATTAAAAAAAAGTTAGTCATATTACTATACTTTTTCAGACGAACTTATATTATTTGCAAGGAGTTTAATCTTTCTACTCTAGACTTTGATGGAAAAAGAATTTTAAATTACCACTTAACAAAAAACAAAACAACAGGAACACCTCAACATTATAAAAGAAGTATATTGCTAAAGTCGAACTGCCCAAAATTATATTAAAGATTTTGTATGTCAACATAATCAAAGGATTCCCAGATTTGACAGTCAATTCTGCCACAAAAATACAAACAAAGAGTATATTTAATCTAAACATGGTCATTTTGACAATATTGCAAGAAATGTATTTTTGACAATGTTATTTGCAAAAAAAGTGTGTAGAACAATATTTAACACAGAGTTTAAAATTGACGTTCCTAAATTAAAAAAAGATAAATGTGACAAATATGAAAGAATAAAATTAATCCTTCGCCTAACTCAAATGAAAAAAAAAAAACAGAACATGAAATTCATACAAAAAGAAAGTTGAGACTAATGAAAAACATAATCATGAAAAACATTTGATAAAGCAAAAGTTTTATATGCTTCGATATGAAAAATGTGCTCAGCCTACCAACAACAAATATTTCCAGTTTTTTTTACAAAAAAAAAAAAATATTATTTTTTATTTGACTGCACAATGCTCAATATCAAAAAAAAGTTATGGTGCACTATAGTGAGAACTTCCTAGTGGCTAATCGGGAAATGATATAACTTGTGCTTTTCTTATTATACTGGATTAAAGTTATAAATAAATCTCAAATAACTGAAATATTTTTATGGAGCGACTCTTGTGTACCACAAAATCAAAATAGTTTTATAAAAATTGCTTTAAAAATTATCTTATAAAATTATTCAGAAATTTTGTAGGCCAGGACATAGTGTTATCCAGGAAATAGACAATTTACATAGTATTATTGATATAATATGGAAATAGCTAAAGTTTAAGCCCAATTGGTTTGTCATAATACTAAAATACATTCCTTAAAACAATCCAATCAAGTTGATTCAAATTTAAAAAAAAGCAGATGACAGACTTTCAATCTGTAGCAAAGAATCATTACTTAAAAATGTTCCATATGATTAAGTAAAGATACTTAAATACTTAAATCCGCATTTCGAAGTTTCAGAAGTATATAATTCTGCATAAGTTAGTTTTTGCAGATCAGTTTTTAAACAGAAGTATTTCTATCAGAGGTTAGCTTTTCTCTTTATATAATGATTGTTTAATTCAGTTGCATATTTTAGATTAGAATGCATCCATGTTTGTGGAATGTATTGCATTTTACATACAAAGAAAGAAATATTAAAATCAATGCATGTGGATTTTTTTTTAATTAAAAAAAAATCCACATGCATTGATTTTAATATTTGATTGAAAAACTGTTGACTTGGGACACACCCAAGCCAACAGTTTTTCAAATATATTATGAATAACTAAAAAACAGTTGTGGTTGAATAGCTCTATATCTTTAACAAAAAGAATATATTTAGCTTTATGCTTACAATCTAAATCAAGTTTTCAAATATTATACTTTTTTTACTAGAATCTTATACTTTTCTTGGCATTTGATTTTCATGTGCAATAAAAATCTGAAACCCAACAATTTTATATAACAATATTATTTACAATATAAAATAATTGCTGCCATCTTTTTTATTGATAGCAAAAAAATTAGCACAAAAATTATTTTATTATACGAAACTCAAAACAGCTTTTTGTTGATACAAAAAGTTTAACATTTAGCGATTTTTTTTGTCTTGTAAAAAACAGCATTTAGCTCAATTTTATAATTTAGCAATTATAAAATTGAGTCTGCATCAATTTTATTTTTAATTTGGATTTTGATTAGATAAAAAAAATCATTTTATAAATGTGCAGAATGATGCACTTCATTTTCAAATGAAGCAGAATGTTACAATCAGTATTTAACTTTAACGTTAATTTAATTTGACTTACTAACTTTTGCTACCTGCTTAAAAATTGTAACTAACATACTAAAGGTATTAAATTCAGTAACTAATCTAGTATTTTTAATTATTTGTATGTTTGTGCCAATATAACTGACCCTCATGAACAAAAAAAAATTATCTTTTGCAACTTTATCTGGTGTTATGCTACTTAATAAAACATATATACTTTTTTTGTTAATTCACCTCTTTAAGGCTGAGAAGGCCACTACAGTTGAGGAGGCTACTTAATAACCCTCTCTCAACTCTATGACTTTGAAACACAAACCTTGATGAACAAGGCCGCTGCGCGGAGAAACGAGTTGAGCACGGTACTACCAGGGACATGGTGGGGATCCAACTCGGAACCTCTAGCTTATGAAGCGAGCACTCAACCACTACACCACTACTGCATAATATAATAAAATAATAATAAAAATATAACCAACTAGTCCAATTGTCACTGACAATTAAAAAGTTTACTACAAAATTTATTTTAAAACCTAGAACTTTAAAATTTTATTACTTCTATCAAAAATAAGAGTTAATTTACTTAACTTTATAGATCTTTAACAATCAATCTTGCTCAAAATATTGTACCTTGAAAGAATCTTTGATTAATTCTTATGCATCTAAAGAATTTGCTAATGATAAAAGAAACTTACTTGGCAAACAGAACTAGAGAAAGGGAGGGGGGGGAGAGAATGACATTTTGGGTAACTAAACTTTGTTATGAATTCTAAATATTAGTTATATCAAAAAACATACCTTTGTAATTTCATAATAATTTTGAAAAAGATTTAAAAGTTCAAACTTCATTTATAAAAAATCACAAAAGTTAGCATGTTTTCTTTATGGTAAGTTAGACTTAGTCAACTTACCATAATTAACATGACGTCAGCTAATCAAAAAACTTTCAGTTTGATTAGTTGACATTATGTTAATTTATTAATGATACTTTTTTAGACAACAAAAGTTTTATTCAAGTTGTAATCTGATTTGCAATTCTAATATACCTTATTATAAAATTTTTACCTCCATTTTTACAGTAGTTTTATTTTGAAAACACAGTTAAATACTGCATAATAGACAACAAACACCTTTATTAGATAAGAACTCATGTTAACGTAAATTGATTTCATGAACTCATGTTAACGTAAATTGATTTCATGAAAAAGTGAAACATTTTTTCTTAATTTTTTTGATTAGTTTCAAAAACCTTTTATTTGATTTGCAATCTAGTTTGCAAGAAGAAAGTTGATTACAAAAGTTTTTATAAATAACTTTTAATAAGGTCTATCAAAATTTTAATAAAATGTATAATTAAACTCAGAAAAGCAATATTAGTTTAGTCTAAAATCCCATAGTTATAAAATTAAAATATTTCTACTAATTATATACTTAATTGGCGCACCTTATCTAAGGCTTCTTGAACAATTTTTTCACTTTCTGTATCCAATGCTGATGTGGCTTCATCAAATAATAAAACTATTGGATTCCTGATTAGAGCTCGAGCTATGGCGATTCTTTGCTTCTGACCACCCGACAATTGAGCTCCTCGTTCGCCAACTCTGGTATCATAACCCTGAATACAAATTAGCAATTTATAAAAAAAAATTAAAAACCAACAAAATAAAAATCTTATAAAAAATATACAACTGTTTGTTGACAAATTGAGACTAAGCAGAGTTTTTTGAGTTTTTAATTTTAACCCGTTAAAAGTCCATGTTGCAATATTATGCAAACTAAAAGTGGTTCTTAAATTTCCTAGCCATATTATGGTTTTATGTATCTCCTTGTATTTCCTTCTTGTTCATCAATAATTATACGCCTACTTATCACAAAATTTATTACTACATAATTAAAAAGATTTTGTTTCAATAATTCACTTTTGCGCCTGTTCACTTATTTTTAATATGACAAATAAGGAAGTTCTTTTAGTGCAAAAATAATTAAAAAAATGTAAATATTTACTTACTAAAAGATAGAAAATTATACATTTGATGAATCAATAATGAAAATATATATTTGATAAATGATTATTGAAAATGATAATAAAAGATCAATGCTCAAAGAAGGTGTGCAGTATGTTACAAACACATAATTCAAAAAGATACAAGATATGAATGTTTAGAATGTAATGTAAGACTTAGTGCAGCTCCATGTTTTTCCAATTGTCATACAAAAAGTGTATATTAGTGAATACATTTTTATAACTATGTGTTCATGTAGTATGATTTATGTATTCTTAAACTTGAATAATGATGTTTTTTAGTGTTTAATAATGTTAAAAGTAGTAAAAAAACTTTTTTTTATTTTATTAGTAAAAAACATGATGATTTTAAAAATATGATTTTAAAAACTTTAATGGGCACTGCTCTTTAGAGCAGTGCCCATTAAAGTTTTCGTAAAGAAGTGAAAAAGAAGAAACATTACAATGATGTCATAATGGTTGGAGGTTGGCTGCAAGAGCAATTCCAACTATGTTTACAATCCTAGAAGATGAAGGGTAGATGACTCATCAAATACATTACCATTTATAAATATAGGAAGATCTAAATTATTGCAATAACGATTGGCTGAAAAAATTGGGTTTTATCTGAATTAAAGTTCACCAGCCACTGTTTACTGTCCCATGCTGTAACAGAAATGAGATTTTCAAGCTCAAATGCACCCTCCAACTAATCAGAGAGTGTTGGCTTCTTATCAAAACAAGAATAAATGATAGTATAGGCAGCAAACAATGCCACCTTATGTGGCTCCAATCAAGAGTCCCAAGATAAAATGGAGTTGGTTTGTTACAAAGCAGTAGAACATGAAGCAGGTTGTACTGGGTCACATGTTACCAGTAGTAGGATAACCTGACCTGATTTAAACTTACTCACTGATCATCAATATGGATTTGGGTCTTGCAGCCAACCTCCAGCCATTATCACATAGCTTTTTTAGTAGATGGCACAAGAGCTTGCATCTCTTGTGCCATCTACTAAAAATCATTCTCATATTACTTGTCATTTAATTAAGTCTCATCCTTTTACTGTGACTGTTCTTAGGTGCTCCAAAAATTTTTATTTGTCTAGTTTTTCCCTCGAACGTCAGTTCTTTGGAATTTACTCTCTTAATTTTGTTTTCTTGATTCTTGATTCATATAATTTGCAATCTTTTTAGAATTTTGTTGGAGTTTAAACTTATAAGTCACTATGAGCCCCAATCTACTACAGAAGTTACAATCTGTTGCAGAAGTGAGATCAGATTTAAGATCGGCTGCCTATTCTAAGCAATCAAAAAAGAGAAGACAGGAGTAATAAGGTGAGTCATCAGCAAAAAGAGCTACTTTAGATGTAAGGTTGTGGGGAAGATTATTAATGTAGATAAAAACAAAACAGGAACAAGAATAGAACCTTGAATACCCCAGAAGTTACTGCAAAGGGTGTTAGCCTTCACAGATGACTTTAAAAAAGCGGTTAAAAAGAAACGATTTGATAATCTTAAAAACTTTCCAAGATATATCATATGAAATAAGTTTATGGGGAAGACTAGCATGCCAAGCTTTGTCGAAAATCTTAGATATGTCGAGAGCCCCAGCCTCTCATCTAATGCACAATAAAATCTTTTAGTCACAGCAGTTAGCAAGTCAGCTGTAGAGTGAGAGGATCAAAAACTGTTTTGATTGTCTGACAGTAAGTTATTTGACTCAATATAGTTTATTAGAGACTCAAAGACCTTGCTAATAACAGAAAGAAGACTGAACTGATGATAATTGAAACGGTCAGAATGTTCACCAGAGTTTTTGAAAATTGGAACAACAGATGCCATTTTGCAACAGGAAGGAAAACAAGACTCAGTCAAGCATTTATTAAATAGTTTAGAGAGAATTGAAAAATGTTCTGACAGGAATGTTGTCTGGACCACAAACAGTAGAAAAGTTTAATTAAGATATGACATTAACAGCGTAAGTTGGAGTGACTTGAATGTCTAACAACAGGTTAACCTGTTTTATTGGAATGGAAGGAAGAGAATGACCATAAGATTCTAGAGTCGAATAAGAAGGAAAGTTCTTGATAAATACTTCTGCATTACCCTTGAGAGATTTACTTAATGACTTTATACATCACAAAAAAATTTTTCAAAAATAAATTAAAGCAACCAGTTAAGTTACTACAGTTAAGTTACTAAACTATAAAATATACTTAATATGCTCAAGACATTTACTTGCGAAAGCTAGCCATACAAATGTTTCTATTTATATCTTATATGTTGCTAACACATGATAAGCTTTTAACTAACAATTATTTCAACAAGAAATTTCAAAAAGAATATGATAAATGTGATACCATTTTTTTCTATTTTTATTTTATTTATAGCATTATCAAGATTAAATTTTTTTTTATAAATACGCAAATTGTTTTCAGGAAATAATTTTAAAAAGAAATCTCTTTGAACTACAAAACTTTAGTCATAAAATTCTCTTATTCAAATAATCTTGAATTAAAATATGAAACTAAAAAAACAAAATTTGAAAAATTAAAAAGAGTTTTAAAGCTAGCTTTCAATAAATTTATTTGTAAGGAAACAATAGCCATGTCTTTAACACCCAGTGGCTTTATTGCAAAACAATTTAAACAAAAAAATTGAATAAAAAAATCAACTTAAAAACTTTATGAATGAAAAAATTAGTTATATTGCAATAAATTATAAGGAAACATATTAAATATTTTTTGAGTTTCTGCTTGATAGACTCCTTTTGCTTTGTTATTAAGGTGTGGTTTTTTATTTTAATTTTTAACTCTTCACACAGTTCACAGACACCAACTTGTTTTCTACTAAATGATAAACTAAAATTTTCTTGGAAATATTAAAGATAAAACTTATATTTAACAGGATTATTTGAATATTTTTGTATGCATAACGTGTGCATAATTTTCACATTGAGTTTTTCATCCAAATAATAAAATGATGCATCTTTACTATAGTAGTGCACATATTTAACAGGAAATGATACAATATCCTCATGTATTTTTGGTAATGTATCACCAGGTAATGTGTTGCATCGTGATCCCTGGGATTTACCTCTGTGACCTATACTGATATGCTCTTTCTTTTTTTTTTTTTAAGAAAATGCATGTCTAACTTGTTTCATAGAAATTTCATGCATGCTGTAAAAAGCTTTCTTGCATACTTTTTTTATCACACCTTCAATCTTAGTGTGATAAATAAAAGAAAAATCTATTTTCTTAGGTTCTTCAGATCTAAACATCTTCTCTCTATTTCCTTCTTTTCAATCTATAACTACAAGTATATATCTTACATCTGTAAATAAAGAAATTTTTGAATTACATCAGTTAATAAAGAAAATTATTGAGGTAATATTGTAATAATTATATATCAAGATGTTTTACCTCCAATTATTGGTGGTAAAACATGAGTAAATAAGCAAAAATTTGAGAACAAACATATTATAGAACAAAAAATTAACCTGCTAGAGGTACCCCTCTGCTATGGTGCCATATCATTTCCTTTGTGGTTTTTATAAGCTTCTTTAGCAATTTTTTTTTTTTTTTCATGTTTATAATTTCCACTGCTCCTTATACCAGACACTCTTTTTCTAGATCTATATGCATTTTCAGCAAGCTCACAATTTTCATTTTGTTAACAAAAAATAAAGATTATGTCATCTCAGTTACGCTTCATTTCACTTGAAAAAGGCATAAGTTTGGAAATTTTGCCATTTTCAAACAAACATTAATTTTCAATTGCATTTAAAGTTGACTTGTGGCATATGCAAATGTGTCTCTTTCAAAAGGAATATGTAAAACACTTAAATAACTAAAATAGCATTGAAAAGTGAATTTTTTATTTATTATTATTTTTTTTAACATCTTTGCTTACAACAAGGCTGCAAGCAACCACTAATTAGTGTTGGAAGTTACTGGAAGAGAAAAGATGAAGGTTGTAGAGCAAGATAACGATTGACAGATGATTTAAAAGATTGCAAATTATATGAATCAGGAAAGCAAGATGAAGGAAGCGAATTCCAAAGAATGATGTTTGAGGAAAAAAACTAGACGAATAAGAGTTTTTGAAGCACTTAGGAACAGTAACAGAAAAAGGATGAGACTTAATTGAATGATGAGTAACACGAGAATGAATTTTAGTAGATGGCACAAATGACACTAGCTCTTTAGAGCAGTGCCCATTATAGTATTTGTAGAAAAGAGAAAAAAAAGCAACATTACAACAATGTGCAGCCCTTCTCAGGAGACGCGTGCGGTTGCACGCCTTGAATGACCACGCATATATATTTTTTTTGATAACATGGCAAAAATTTTTTTTGCATTTATTAAAAATGACGCATTTTAAAAACGCGCTAAAAAAATCAAACTAATTAGTCATCTTATTGGTTTTTTTTTATTATTAATAATTTAATATTATAATTATTTATGAGAAAAAAAACCTAACAATAATGCACATATATATATGTTTGTAATTAATGATAAAATAAAAAAATAAAAATAATATATAAATATATATATATATATATATATATATATATATATATATATATATATATATATATATATATATATATATATATATATATATATATATATATATATATATATATATATATTTGTTTTCATGCATTTAATAAAATTCTGGTGATTTTTCGTTAAGTTTTTGTTTACTTAATGAATTACGTCATTAAGTAATTATTATTCCTTCATGTTGTCTTGACAAGGTTTTAACTGAAACTTTTTATATAAGGAGAATTAAAAAAAAAAACTTTTTTTTTTTTTATATGTATTTATTTTATTGTTTTTTTTTGTTTGCTTATGTACTATTATTTTGGTTACATATAGATGTTTAGAAAAGATTTATATATTTAAAAATTAAACTTAGCAGCATTTTAAAATTTCAATCTTATAAATTAAAGCAATATGCATAAACGTAAGAAGTGTAAATAAAAACTTCGACAAACCAATGACTCAATTAAGTAATAATAAAGATGTAAAACTAAAATATTTTGTTTTAAATAAGTTGCTCTTGGTCTTGCAAAAAAACTATTTTCGGTTTGATAACTTTCATGAATGTTATGAAAAATCACTCAGGAAGAGTGCCACCAGCTTTTAAAAAATTTCTTTGTTAATTGTTTTTAATGAATGAGTTTAATACTTTTGTTATGTAACTCTAACTCTTAATAATAGATTAAAAAAATCATGATAACCGCTCGATAATGTAAGAGATGTAATTTAAGTAAAAAATACAGTATCAAAAAAACAAATTTATTTTAAAAAAGTTTTTATAAAAATTTTAAATTGGTATAGAATTATCTGCATTTTGTAAAAGTTTCTAATACAAACTGCTTTACTGATTCGCAGAAATGAGACCTATAAGTTGAATTTGTTTTTTTACCTTGTTTTCCGTGTAACATAAGTGCAAGTGGCATTTTTAGTAATAAGTTTGCTCTCTTTTGGCTGAACTCAAAACTTTTAAGCTTATTTCATTTATTAGACTAACAACTTTCATACAAAATTGCTAAAAGTTATAAATAAGCAAATATTTGATAAAGTAGTTGCGCGTGTAACATAAGTTATAAATGGAATTGCCCATATATGTTATTTTAATGTTTTTATTTTCTCATTAATAACTATAATAATGAATTATTAATAATAATAAAAAAAAGATGAGCAATTAATTTGGTTTTTTCAGTGCGTTTTTAAAATGCGTCATTTAATAAATGCAAAAAAAATCGTAGCCATGTTTTCAACATAAATATATATATGTGTGGTCATTCAAGGCGTGCGACCGCACACGTCTCCTGAGAAGGCCTGACATAACAGAGGTTGAAGGTTGGCTGCAAGAGCAGGTCCAACTATGTTTACAATGCGTTTTTGCACCTTGTCTAAAAGAGAAAGGGCATCATCAGAAGATCCGCCCCAGATATGGCAACAGTATTCCATACAAGGTCGGATTTGAGATTTATAGAGATAAGAATAGAATCCAGAGTAAGAAAGTGTCGAGCTCGATAAAGAGATGCAACTTTAGCAGATGCTAATTTTGCAACGGATTTGATATAAGGTTTCCACGAAAGATCAGAAGTGAGAGTTAATCCTAGAAGATGAAAGGTAGATGACTCATCGAGTACATTACCGTTCATAAATATAGGAAAGTCTAAATTATTGCAATAACAATTGGCTGAAAAAATTGAGTTTTATCTGAATTAAAGTTCACCAGCCACTGTGAGGCCCATGCTGTAGCAGAAGTGAGATCCTTTTCAAGCTCAAATGCCCTCTGCAAGCAATCAGAGGGAGTTGGCTTCTTATTGTGACAAGAATAAATGGTAGTATCATCAGCAAACAATGCCACCTTAGATGTGAGAATATCTGGAAGATCGTTAATGTAAATTAAAAAGAGTATAGGGCCAAGGATTAAACCTTGAGGAACCCTTGAGGTTACAGAATAAGAAGAAGAGTGCTGTCCATCAAGGACAACTTTTATACTACGATTGGAAAGGATTTAATAATCTTAAAGATGTTTCCAGATACACCGTAAGAAGAAAGCTTATGGAGAAGACCAGCATGCCAAACTTTATCAAACGTATTAAAAATGTCAAGAGCAATGGCCTTAACCTCTCCACCTTTATCTAATGCGCAATAAAACCTATCAGTTATTACTGCTAGCAAATCAGCCGTTGAACGAGAAGATCGAAATCCATATTGATGATCAGAAAGTAGGTTATGAGATTCAAGATGAGAGATTGAGTGTTTGTTAACTAAAGATTCAAAAACCTTGTTTTTATAGGAAGAAGACTAATGGGATGGTAGTTAGATGAATCGGATTGCTCTCCAGAATTTTTAAAAATAGGGATAACAGATGCTGCTTTTCAGCAGGCTGGAAAACAAGACTCTCATAAGCACTTGTTAAATAGTTTAAAAGGATAGACGACAGCTCCAGAGAACACTTCTGCAAGACTATAACAGGTATGAGTGATACGGATGTCGAGCAGTGGATCATCCTGTTTGACGGCTATATCAGGTAGAACGCAACTAGTGGAATCCAGAGATGATATTGATGAAAAGTTCTTAGCAAACAATTCAGCTTTGTCTTTAGGTGAGGTGGCAAAGTCTGAACCATACAAAAGAGGTGGAATTACAGACTTGCCTTTATTATTGATACTTTTAAAGGTTCTCCAGAAGTCACAAGAGTCTAATTTTTGTGATGAAATACGAGATTTCATGATCTGAGAATAGCGGGCTTTGGCGTTAGATAAAACCTTTTTACAATCGTTTTAGCAGTAATAAACAAACGTCTGTTTTCTGGAGAATTGTTTTGCTGATAGATATGGAAGTAATGGTTTCGATTGGCAATTGCAGCAGCACAATGTGAGGAAAACCATGGAGAAGAGTGAGGCTTGACCTGGAATCATCGTAAGGAAATAAAGGATTCCATGCCAGCCTAAATCAACAAAGTTATGTAAGAAAAATTTTTTGTCAATAGGAAGACAAAAGATTTCTACCCAGGGGCCATCATGAAGAAAATCACGGAAAGAGTCCCAGTCAGCTTTAAGGTAGTTGTAAAATGTATGATGATAGGGGATTCTAATGATAAAGAAGAATGAGATAATAGTTTTAGAGAGAACAAACCATGATCGAAGGCACCTAAGGGTGAATGTGGAGAAACCGAGCACTGACTAGGATCAGAAATAAGACATAAGTCGAGTAGAGAAGGTAACTGATTCGGGTTATCTGGAAAGCCAGTTGGAAAGTTGACTATTTGAGTTAGGGATTGAGAAAGGCAAAATTTGTGGGCCTTTATGCCTGCAGAGTCACTGACAGGCTAGAGCCAAGCCATTCAGTGTAATGAACATTGAAGTCACCAACAACAACAATATTGGCTTATGGATAAAGAGAGAGGGCTCGGTCAATATGATCAGAAATAACATCAATAAGAGTGCAGTCTTGAGATGAGGGAGAGCAATATAAAACAAAGAGAAAGGTGATAGAGTGAAGTAGTGCTAAACGAAAGCACATAAAAGAGTAGTCTGTGGATTCAAACATAGTTTCCCGACAAATGGGTGAATTCTTACAAATGTAAATGCCCAGGCCAAGCATGTGACTATTGGAGTCTTTACGAATTAAAGGAAGATAACCATCAACACTAAGATCACAAGATGAGACAGCTGAACTCAAATTAGTCTTACAAAGAGCAAGTAGGTCGGGTGAACTTTGCAAGAGATAAGACTCAACAAAAGAAAAGTTATTTCGAAGACCACGAATATTGGTGAATGATAGGTTTAGCGAACTTGATGATGACTGTGGTTTTTTGTGTTTTATAGTTTTTGTTACTTTATTTATTTTTAAATTTGTTAAAGAACTTGACTCGAAACATAGATAGTACTCAGTACACTGTTTTATAGCCCAAGCAATCGCCTCATTTCTATTAATAAACCCTATAATAATAATAATAATAATAATAATAATAATAATAATAATAATATATATATATAATATTGATTATATTTTAAATATAAATAATGTATTCCAGAAAAAGCATTTTTATTAATTTAAAAAACTAATAAAATTTAACTAATAATTATTTGTGATAATATTTTTTTAAATTTAATAAAAACATCTCTACCTTAGGTAAAGCAGAGATAAAATCATGTGCATTTGCGTTTCTTGCTGCATTTTCTATGTCTGATTGTGATACTTCATGAACAGCTCCAAAACTTATATTTTCTGCAATACTCATGTCAAAAAGAATTGGTTCCTGGCTTACTACACCAATATTTGTACGCATATTTTTTAAATTCAAATTCCTAATATCAACTCCATCAATCATAATCTTAAATAAAAATTTTTATTAAATATTAAGTAATGTATTTCAGAAAAATTATTTTTATTAATTAAAAAAAAATATATATAACCGGTTGAAAGGTGATGATTAAAGTGATAGAAATATAAATGAGAAATGAGAGTTATTTGAGAGATGGTCAAAAAGGATAATTAAGACAAATTGGGTACAAGTAAATGACAGAGATTAGACAAAATAAAAAAGCAGAATAAGTAAGGCAGATCAAGATTAGATTTTAAGAACTACACAATGCTGATTGATGCAGAAACACACTTCAATCCTTCCTAGGAAACACGTGTGGCTTTTTGTCTTGTATGTCCATGTATGATTATTTTATCTTAGACAAATTGGTCATGGCCGTTTGCAAGTTTTATTATATAAGGTGTTGTAGAAAAACTAACAAAAGAGAAGTTAAAATAGATTTAAATATAAAAAAATAAAAAAATGAAAATAATTTAAATAACTTGTTTACTGTTTTTATTTTTGTTTCTTTAGGGTAGTTGTTATTTTCTGCAACAAAATTAGATTAGGCAAAGCAAAAAAAAACAGTTTTAAGTCAACATTAAAAAGAATAATTATTCAATATTATTATTATTTTTTTTTTAAAGAGGAAACCAAAAATATTTGATTTATTTGTTAATAAGTAATCACAAGTTTAGCTTATTTGTATAGGGTATTTAATTTGTACTTAGAACGTCTGTCCCACCACTTCACAAGTTTTTTTTGTTTTTTTACTCTGCCACTTCCTTTTGGTATACTATGTTATTGGTGAAATATATGTCAACAATTATTAATAATTAATAATAATAATTGCATGACAATTAATAATTATTATCAATATAATAAATTGTTCATCATTAAAATAGTAGACCAAAAGGGAGGGGGCGGGTAGAACTAATTGCACAGAACCAAAAGTTAAAAAAGAACAGGTATCCAAAACTACAAAGCGCTAAAAGAGTGGGGATAAAAAACGTACAGGAATTAGAAAGGTAATAGGAAACAACTAGGGCTATGTGAAAAATGTGTTGAAGGCATGGCCTAAATGAAGCTTAAAAACTATGTATATATCTGTGTGCATTTTACTTAGAACATACACTGAAAGGCTTAAATGGTATAAGAAATCTGAATGTGAAGAGATGTGTATCATTCAATAACATACAACAAAAAGATGTTTATATATAAAAATAAAAAGATAAATGGTTACAAAGCAAATATATGACCAGCGGTATTTAAAAAACAGATCGTGGCAGAATTATTTCCACAGATATGCTGTGTATGAAGTAAATGCCTTAGCCAAATAAGCTAAATGTGCACATACTTATTAACAAATAAATGCAATTATATAATAAAGAAAGTTATACATAAAAGTATACACATACATTACACAGTGTATTCATATAGGGACAATATATACTTTTTACATTAAAATTATACAAATACATTTTACGAACAGATAGCAGTTTATATTTTTGCTTTCCTCTTTAAAAAAAAACAAATAAAATAAAGAAAAATTATTCTTTTTAATGTTGACTTAATTTTTTTTTTTTTTTTTTTTTTTACTTTGCCTAATCCAATATTGATGCTGAAAATAACAACCACTCTAAAGAAACAAAAATAAAAACAGTTCACAAATTATTTAAACTATAAATTTTTTTTCTATTTTAATTTATTTTAAATTTCTATTTTGTTAGTTTTGCTTTCTTTGTTTTTAAAACTTAGTTTTTTCCACAACAATGCAAAACTTGCAAATGGCCATGATCAAGTTGTCTAACATAAAATACTCATGCGTGGACATACAAGACGAAAAACCATGAGCGATTCCTGGGAAGGCTTGCAGTTCACACTGATTTGACTTGAATAAATAGGCTTTAATGTCAGGATAAGTTTTAATTGCTTAAAATAAGTAAACAGTACACAAACCTGATTTCCTAAAATGTTCAATTGACATTAATATAGAAATAATTAGAAAAAGTAATGGCTTACAGATCCTTCTAGAGTATCATAAAACCGTTGTAAAAGTTTTACAATAGTGCTTTTACCGCATCCAGATTCTCCAACTAATGCCACAGTAGTTCCGGGCTTTATTTTTAAATCAAAACCTTGAAGAATCTAAGTGTATAAAAAAATAATATTATTATTTTACTTCTTTTTGAAAATATTACCTACTTACAAAGTTACTTTTACATGCTATTTTGTTAACATAAGCAAAAATAAATTGTACTTATTAGGGGTCATCCACAAACTACATCATAATCTATAGGAAGGAGGGGGTAGTGGTTTTGTTACTACCTGCACACATCTGGTTACCAAAAAGCATTTTTCACTAGACTATCTTGATATGTCTGCTGAAAATTGTGCAACTTGTGGTTGTTCAGCTTTAAGAAGACAAAATGGATACAATTTTTTTTTACTAAAAACAGCTGGATCCACAGAATTTTGTTTATTATGCCACCAAAATCATCTTATTAAACTATCACCAGAAGTATACAGAAATTTGCTTTTATGGTGGATATGTTTTTTGATTGTTTAAATGTTAAGAACCGTGATGAAAATATAACAAAAAATAAGCCATTTTTAAAAATTTATAAATCAGTAAATATTTTTTTTGGTTGATTGAATCACTAAAATGATAAATTGTAGAAAGTATCTATAGATCAACTAGAAGGAAGTTTTGATGAGAGCTTAAAATTAACAATGTTTATTTCTTTACAAATTTACAAAGATTTTCAAATTCATTTAAAGAAGTTGTTTAAGTTTTACTTTGAAATAATGTTTAGTTAGTTATTGCTGAAAAGATATTCTAACACAGATTTTTACTACAATATCAAATCAAGCTACAGTTTTTAGTTTTTCGAATTACTAGTAATGTTAAATGTAATGACAACATTCAAAATAAAAATAAAAGCTGTCATTTTACATTAAAGACCAACATTAAGCTCTAAAATTTTCAAATTTGTTTATAATTAAATAAACAAAAGAAAAATAGTTATTTTTAACCATAAATTTTAAAACATTATTTGTCATTCATTTACATAATTTATATTTGTTTATATTTTCATAATTTATATTTGATATTTACATAAAAATTAGTGTATTTTTTGAAAAAAAAATTATCCACAATCCACTACAAAATTTCAAAACATAAACAAAATAAAAAGTTTTAATTTTAACTTAATTAGAATAACTATTGCTAGTTTTTTCTTTTCTTCTATAACTATTTACATGCAAATATAATAGGAAACTATTGACCTTTATACATTGTAGTTTTTTACAATGGAGTTGAGTGTCTGTACAGAAATAAACACTCCCTTCCCTTGTATGCTTCTGGGTAACCCACTTATATATACTTTTCTAGATAACTATAAATGCTCCCTTACCTCTTTTTTTGGTTTCCTAAAAATATATTATCAAAAAGAAAGCATGATATTGCTATTTAGTCATAGAATATTTTTATCATAACTATCATTGACCTTGATAAAATTTAACTTAATTGTGGATTCAGAGTCATTTCACAAAACTAATATAACTAAACTAATCAAAATAGCGAGAAAAAAATTAATTTTAAATAACATTTTAGATATAATTTACTGACTTATTATCCTTTTAATTTTCTTTGAAAAAAACAGTTTTCGCCCTAACCAAACTTTTAGTCTATGTGCCCCTGATTACTTGCTGAATCTCATATATCATTAAAAAAAACTTTTTTTCGGCCTCTCAAAAAAATCAGAATTGGTATTAATTTCAGAAATTTTTATTCAAATATAAATAATAAAAATTAAATATAAATAATACAAAAGAAACAATATAAAGTAGCATACTGTGTCATATTATCACAAACTATGAATACAAATATGTAACTGATCATAACTGAATTTTATTGCTGTAACTGTAACACATTATTGAAGGACCTTTATTAATAAATTTTAACTACCTTAATAAATAAACTTCGTTGCTACCTAAATAAAAGTTGTTTTTATACCATTAATATTTTTAAAAGTTGTGACTATGAAAATAGCCTTTTACGTTCAACAAACTTTTTTTTCCATTTGTTTTGATAATTTCGGACTTCACAGGTTTTACAAGTTTTCTTTCTCATTTTATGTTTTTCAGTAATTTTTTTGCATAATAAAAGATAACAAACTTTTATAAACAATGTAAGTTAGGGCTTTAGCAAATTCTCACTAACTTTAGTTGATTCTGAATCATGGCAAATTTGTTTATAAAGAGAAAGTACAATATAATTTTTTAAATTGTTCGTATTCTATAATATTTCTTATATGTAGTATTAACAAAAGTCTGAGTATCATCTTCCATAACCCTGCAGAGCAGTAAAACTGAAGCAAACTGTTGGCAATCTCTAAAAAATATATTCATTAAGATATTGTAAACTTTTTCTCTATATACTATGATTTCTTGAGTTCTTTTTACAGATTCACTCATGCCTGGTTTTATATCAGAAAGATTGTTTAATATAACAGAAGACATTTCAGTAAGTAATGTATTACTTAAAGTTATATTGCTGAAGTGTCAAGCTAGTAAATTCTTGATCACCACTTCATAATACTCTTAATAAAATAAATCACTACTGAATTTAAATTTTTCTTATATTAAAGTTATTTTTATCTAAAGATTTCAACAAAATTTATTGATAAATTAAGTTTCTTGTAAAAGATTTTTTTAAGAACTGTTTTCTTAAATCAAATAGCAGATACATGTCTTTTTTTAATAAATTTGTAATACCTTCAATTATTCTTTACACTTTTAGCAATAACATTTATTAATAGAATTCTTTCTTCTATAAATGTTTAAAGAACATTTGCCAGAATTTTTTGGAATATGCCTTGATGCAAAGTCTTGTTTACTTTAGACGCTAACTATATGCATGTTGTTCGACATAACTATTTAATTTAATAAAAGAAGCAAAGAAACCTTTATCTGTAGCTAAGTTTATGTCTTTGTTTTAAAAACTCCTTTAACCATATCAAACAACACTTAAATTAAAAGAAATATTTTATAAAGTTGTGCAGGTTCCTCGGGTTGTTGGGCAGTTTTTAAGTTAAAATCAAAAAATAATGGAAATGGTCCATGTTTCCAGACTATGTATTCTTATGACTATGCAAAAAGTTATGTTGTTATGAGGGAAGAAGGGGGACAAAGGGAACAAATATTGCATTACATAATTTATAAACAATCCTTAATAAAAAATATTAGTCGTTGTTTCCTAGTATAAATTGCAATTATTATACAATATTATAAAAACAACAATTCAAAGCCATTAAAAAACAAAAATAAAAACAAATCTAAAATTTATTGATTCCTCCAAATAAGTATAGGAACTGATTGAAACCAAACAAATATTGGAAACATGATTTCAAAAACACTTTCTAAAACACACTAAATGAATAAATACAGATATTTGATGAAGTTTTTTTGTAGTTGTTATTACAAAATTTTCCTTATTTTTAAATTTTTATTTCATTATCACCCTAATATATTCATTATTAAATTAGTTAATAACATGTTGCATGTATTTTTCACAAAGTGTTAGTTGTATAAAAAGAAGGCACATTAGACTTCTATTAGTTTTATTGTTTTAAAAGTGAAAAAAAAGAATATAAATAGCAAAGAAATGAGACACAAATTTTTAATGTTAGAGTAACATTTTTCTATGTTAAAAAAAAACTTGTTAGAAATAGTTTAACATAATGCGCTATAACCATAGATCATCCAGGTCATGTTTTAAAAATCTAGAAAATTGTTTGGATAAAATATCTATAACAATCCGAAATATGTTTTCTCTTTAATTTTGCTTTTAGCTTAGCTGTTTTTAATTTTTTTTTAAAGTTTTCATAATTTTTCTATAAGTGATGAGTGGAAAAGATTGAAAAACAAATATATTATAAAATATATACTTAAGCTTGTATGTATAAAAAATATTTTTGATATCCAGAAAAAGACAATCCTTGGCTATAAGAAACTATAAACAAATTTAGTTTAAATAATTACTTAATAATAACTATTTTTTCTATAGGAAAAATTGATCCAGAACTAAATTAGACTAAAATTTTAATTTTTTTAAAAGAACAAAATTTTCATTAAAATTAAGTAATTAGTTATAGCTAGGGTGACTATTGTCTCTGTTTCTACATACGAGAGATCAGCACTAAATTAATTTAAATAAGAAATCTTATTGCATTTTTCTACATAAAAACCACTGGCTTATTTGAAAAATATATAAAAAAACAAGATTTAAAAATTTAAAAGAAAAACTTTAAAAGTTACAAATTATATAAAAAATGTATGCTAATTTCACATAAACTTTGTTTATAATTCTGATTTCCAACATGGCTGCAAGCAACCGCTTTCCCATGACTCGATGATGTCATGACTCAATTAACTCAAAGATGCTTTTCTCTAACTCATTCATGAAAGTAAATCAATAAATCTACATTCCAATGGAAATATGACTAAACAAATGAGTAAATAAATGAACACTCACTAGGCCTATCCATAAAAAATTGTGTTGATATATGTCAGTTAATAAAAACCTGATGTGATAAACTAGTAGCTGATGCAAACACCTTGATAACACGTAGCTGCATGGAATACTTAAAAAAAACTTAAAATAATTATGAACATAATAATGATGTATATATATGAATAATAATGATATATATATCAACAAGTTTTAACAGGACAGAGTCCCCTATATTAAGACTAAGCAAGTAAGCAGTTGGTTATATGAAAATGAGATTTAAGGTTATAACCCCATGGCCTGGTTAATCATTCAAACTCAATCCTATTGAAATTTGCAAAAAATCTTGAAAATGGCAGCCAAAAATTAAGAAGCTTATCTGCCATTAATCTATAAGAAGAAATAAAGCTGGTATGGAGTCAACTTGCTACTTGTGAACACTTGAGGGAACTTATAAAATGAATACTAACCAGTTTACTTAACTGCCTAAAAATACTATATTTTAATACAATTCATAAACCAAATTAAACAATTTTTTTTATTTTAATTCCATAATAGGAATTGAAGATTTTAGACAATATTTTGCAAGAAGAAAGTTCAGTTAAAAAATTTAGGCAGAATACAAATTAAACTGTTTTAGAGAACTTCCGTTTACAAACTAATATTTGAAAAAGTTATTTATTTTCAATTATAAAAAAACTTCAATATTAAAATTTATTATTGTTTAACTGTTATCATCTTATCATCTTTTTTCATCATTTTATTATTGTTAAATAAAGGCATTTTTATGAGGGTAAAGCTAAATAAATTTATGTAAATTTTAATTCCAACACCTTCCAGAGGTCTTTTGAAAGAAATTTCAAAATTGTTCTGCAAAAAAAAAGCTTTTAAGATAAGTTATCATTTATTTGGGATATTTACCTAAACAAGTGAATGAAATATTTACTAAAACGAACTTGTTATTAACAATAATATTTTTAGTAAATATTTCATACATGTCGACAACATATTTAATTATTAACTATTCATAAATATTTTCAGCATAATCATAAGATATTTTTTTAGTTGAACTGTAACTAATTTAAATCAAACTTATAAATAATCAACTAAATGTAGATGACTACCTGCTTATTTAGCTAGTCAGCTTCAGTTAGTCAGAAAATTTTAATCAAACTAATAAGTTATCAGACAAATGTTAGTCAAACTAAACAGTTAGTTAATTAATTTTAGTCACACTAAAACATTAGCCACACTAAAACATTAGTCACACTAAAACATTAGTCACACTAAAACATTAGTCACACTAAAACATTAGTCACACTAAAACATTAGTCACACTAAAACATTAGTCAAACTAAAACATTAGTCACACTAAAATATTAGTCACACTAAAACATTAGTCACACTAAAACATTAGTCACACTAAAACATTAGATCTAATTTATTCAAACTAAAAAGTTATTTAAACTTAAAAGTTAGTTGACTAACTTTAGTTGAATTAAAGAGTTTTTTAGTTAACTTAGTAACTAATTTTAGTTCAGATCATAACAATAATAAAATTATAAACTTACTTTCACATCTGGTCTTGATGGGTAATTAAAATGAACATTTGAAAAAAATACTTCCCCAGCACAATCATTAAGAACATATCCTTCATCTGTTAAGCAGTCAATAGTTGGTACCTAAATATATATGTAAAATACTATATATTAATAATTAATACAAATATTATAATTTTAAAACATAATAACATTTATATTAATAATTAATTTATTATATATTGCAATTGTATACTATTGGAATTCAGAATAAACTATTACTATTGTTAAAATACATGATCTGCTTTTCTATTCCATAGAAATTATATTATTATATAAATAAAAAAAGTATAAAATATATAATTTTTTTAATTTTATTTGAAAAGTACGTATTTTTTATGATAAATTTACATCTTTTAAAACAATTTGTATGATTGATTTTATAAACAACAATTGCTTTTGATTTTTTTATTTACTGAATGAAATAGATCTGATTGAACTAAGTTGAATTTAGGTTGTAAAATGGGTCAAAGAATGAGAAAAATGGGTCAAAGAATATATTTTCTTTGACCTATTTTACAACCTAAATTCAACATAGTGCAACCATTTGTGATCTATTTCATTCAGTAATCTTTTGTGATCTATTTCATTCAGTAAATAAAAAAATCAAAAGCAATTGTTGTTTATAAAATCAATTATACAAATTGTTTTAAAAGATGTAAATTTATCATAAAAAATACGTACTTTTCAAATAAATGCAGTGGTTACAGTCATGTGTAATTAAACCTACAATTAGTTTATTGTACCCTGAAACTGAAGTACTGCATGACTCATCACCAGTGCTAAACTTGTTAGATACACCAATTTAAAGAAGTATTTTAATCACAACTTCTAGTAATCTAATAATTTTTTTATTCAAAAGATTTAGTTTGAAAGAGAAATATTAATATAGCATCTACGATTTCTGTTTATTAAATTAAATTAAATAGATGTATCTGTAAAAGATATACTTTGTAAAAAAGACCACAGCGCTGCAACTGTTTATGGCCCAACACTTGAGAAAAAATGGTGAAATGTATTCAACACAAGAAAGATACTTTTTAGTGTAAGTTGTTGATATCTTATGGAAGTTGCAAATGTGTGAGAATTGTATCTGTGTGCATTGTCTTTGAATATTTTAATTATATAATACTATGTGCCTTATATTAGTTTCATATTAAATATTTTCATTATTCAGTAAAGGTATGCCCTCAACGGAGGAAAAAATACTCATGTCAATTGTGGTAGTCTTCATTTGTCTCAAAAGTAACTTAATTGAATTCAGGTCATGTAGGTGTTTTGGTATTTATCAGCTCGTTTTAAAATAATCCTGCAAATTATTGTACATTAAACTTTTGTATACATTTTTTATAAAAGAATGATATCCAATGTTTTTGGATATGAGATATTTAGCAATTTCAAAATTTTACTTGTATCTTTTAGTTTGGTTTCAAATTTGAATATATATATATATATATATATATATATATATATATATATATATATATATATATATATATATATATATATATATATATATATATATATATATATATATATATATATATATATATATATATATATATATATATATATATATATATATATATATATATCTGTGTGTGTGTTTGTGTGTGTGTGTGTGTGTGTGTGTGTGTGTGTGTATCTCTTTGTTAATCTTATTATCAATTCATTATATTTATAATCAAGTTATGTACATGCTTATTCCAAATAGTCAACTTAACAAAATAAATAGTCTTCCACAAAGTATTATATCAAGTTAAGATTGTGGGTAATAAAATTTAATTACTATTTTTAATACTAAAACAAATAACAACAACTTATAAAAAAAAAATACCCTTGAACAGATTTTAAATACAATATACGCAGCTCCTCGAGCACTTGTGACAGCTTCAAAATTTGGAGCAACTTGACCAATCTGAGCAGCACCAATCATAACACAAAAAAACACTATCATTAAATCACCAGCTTTTATCTCATAACTTGCAACTAATTTTGAACCATACCTTAAAACATAATTAAATTATTAATTACGTTTTATTGGTAGAAATAATCTTCATTATTAACAATTTGTTATATTAAAGGTTTAAAGCTTAAAAAAAAAATAACTATTTGTTTTAAAATCAAATATAAAATCTGATTAAGAATGACTTGGAGTATAACATTGGGATTTTCAAACACTATAATCTTGGAAATTAAAAACTGCTCCAAAAAAATAAAAATTAAAAACCTGATTCAAGTTATCACAATAAAAAAATCAAAGTTGTTAGCAACACAAAACAAAAGAAAAACTAAAAAATAATATGAGAACTTACCAAAATGCTAATGCATAACATGCAAAAATAACAATGTGAAAAAGTCCCATTGAAGCACCAACTAACACTGACTTTAGAATTCCAGCTTTTTGTGCTCTACCTAACTTTTCATTGTATCTAATAAAAAAAGTATTTTATTGAAAAAAAAACTATTAGTTCAAAAATACAAACAAATTTGATAGTGTATATTGACACCATATAAGTGACAAATATGCACATTAGGGTGGTCCTTAAAAACAAATTTTTTGTTGTTTAACTTTTTGGTACCCAAAGATCCTTAAACATTTAACAGATCCCTAATAATATCAAAAAAAGGTTTTTTAAAAGTATGTTGTATTGGACTTTAAATAAAGCAAAATTATATAAAAATTTTAAAAACAATAAAAATTTTATAGAAAATATAATAAATAAATAAATAAAATAGAATTGAAAAAAAACTTTCAAAATAGATTTTTTATTTTTAGTTTTAAAATGTCATAATGTATGCAAAAAAATTACAAAATAATTTTTATAAATATTTATAAAATGATTAAGACTTTTAAAACTTTTATATAATTGTTCAAGGGTTCATTTAAACAAATTCATTTGTTCATTCAACCAATGAATTTGAAGATGTCATGATTGGCTTAAATTACAGAGAAAAGTATTATCACTCCAATCAAAGGCAAACCCCAGGAAAACCATTAAAGCAGGAGCTAATCTAGACCATTTTTGACAGCACTGAATGTATCAGTGCTTATTTAGAACTTAAATAAAGTATGTCTTTCTGTTTTTATTTTAGTTATTTTGTTTAATAGATATAAAATGCTTTTTATTTTTTATTTAATTGCCATATTTATTTTAACTATTATATTTAGAATTTAACTGAAATATTCATTTTGCCTTTTTTTTTAAATTATTTTATATATTCTTTTTAAATTGTGTTTTTTTTTTTTTGCCATTTTCATTTTAATAATTTAATTAATAATTTAAAATTAAAAAAATAACAATAGATTACATAGGTAGAGAACTATTGCACAAAAAATCAAACAAGGATTTAATTATTGCACAATTGCCTGTTTAATATCACGAAACCTTTCAAAAGTTTAAATTGGTGCTCTCAGTAATTCTTTGAGTATTTTCCTTAAAAAGAAAAACTTACTTATGCTTATGAAAAACTTATGTGGATCAAGATAAAAACTATTGTACAGATTTTTATTCCTATTTAACAGGTTTCGACCTGTTACAAAAACAAATTTACCTGGACCATGGATCAGTATAACACCATCACTTCACAAGTTGATTGGTCATTCTTGCTATTTTTAAATAATAAGGAAAGTGGTTTGGGAAATTTTTATGATTCAAGGTTAAAAGGTAATAACAAAATATTAAATTGATACATATGAGACTGTCAAGAAAAAACTCCTAAACTGTCAATTTAACAGACACCATTAACTGAATCCACATGTGTTGCAGACAGGGTTGGAAAAAACCCAGGGTTTTTTAAAAAAACCCAACCCAAATGGGTATTTTTGGGCTTTATTGGGTTTTTTAGGGTTTTATGGGTTTTTTGGATTTTTTTAAAAATAGATCAAAATACCAAATTTTTATAATTGTATGAGTACAACAAGTTTTTTTTTTAATTTCATAAATTCACCTCCCTATTGCTCCAATGACCATTTCAGTCAAGGGAGCAACTCATTTTTTAAAAATATTTTGTCTCAATCCTTAACATTACCATTTTTACTAACAAACAACATTAACAACTAAAAATTTTAAACAAAGGCGCTGTGTGGAGAAATAGATTGAGACAGTAAATTCAGCAGAGGTAATTTGAATACCAACCTTCTGGTTGCGAGCCAAATGTTTTACTACTAGTCTACTAGGACATTTTACTTATAGTGCAAAAAGGGACTCCGTCAACTTTAAATGATGTCAATTAATTGCTCTAAATTAAAAACATATGCAGAATATTTTTGACTAAAAAAAAAATCAGTGTAAAAATTATTATGACAATTGAGTTATTAAAAGTTGGTAAGACAATATAAATGTTGCAAACTAGTTTTTTTTACTAACATGTTCAACATATCATTACAAAAACTATTTTGCACAAGTTTACGACATGTAATCAACAAGTTTGCAACATGATGTTGCAACCTTGTAAGTTATTATCAATCAGGATGACTATGAACACTTTTTAAACATCTTTGTATCATAGAAGAAAACTGCTAGCCTAATCACTACATTTTTTTTTTATCAGAACATTATACTGTCCAGCTTCCTGGAAAAGTTATCGGCCTGATCAATTGGACTGGCAAAAAATGGATTTTTGCCTAAACTTTGGCTCTTAAAATATCTAAAATAAATTTGTTAAGAACCATTACAGTGACTTCGCCACCAAGTTTTTTTTTTCCTTGAAGATGTTTTACAGGCTCAGTTTTGCAATGCAAAATGCAAACTGAATCAAAGTAACACATTATATAGCTCTATTGTGTGTGTGTTTATTCACCTTTTAGCAACTTGATACTGATGTTTATTTTCAACCCACTGTTCATAGTCACCCCTGTTGGTGGTACATGTTGTAAACTTGTAGCTGATGCAAAATATTCAAAACCTGTCAAAAGACAGATGAGCATGAGTGTCATTTTTACCAAAAAATCTTTTCCTTGTGAAATGCATACAAGTTTTCAACATGTTCTCTCATTGAATGAGCAAACATGTTGCAAACTTGCTTGCACTTAATTTTTTTTAAGTTTTAAAGTTGTATGCACTTAAGGACAAATCTAGTAAACTGTAGCATTTTTTTTTTGCCTGACAACTTTCCATTTCTAAACTGTAAATAAAGTTTAATAATTTTTATATATGGTATTTTGCTTGTGGCTTTGTATTTTTTTTTTTTTTTTTTTTTTTGCAGTTTACAACATAAGCTTTAAAAAATAAAAGATCAAATACCAATATAAAGGAATATAGACATTCGAGAGGAGAATAAAGATACTAAATAACTAGTAATGTCTTGAAATTTAGTAAATAGAATGATTTTTATTTCCTTTATAAGTATTTAACTAACTTAATGTTTTAATACATATTTCAATAACATTTATAATAACTTGCTAAATGTTTTAAAAAAATAATAACCAACTTGCTACAAAAACAGATTGATCGATTTTGGGTATATCCTAAAGACTATTATGTATATAAATACAGTGTTTACAAGAGTAATTACAGTATAAAGGTTGCACTTGCTGACAATAAAGCATTTATAAGTGTTAAAATCAGAGTTATCAGTTGTAAAATAGGACGTTTTTTAAAAAAACCCAAATATATTTGGGTTTTATTAAAATCCTATTTTCTAAATTAAAATAAAAGAAATGTTAACTTTTTTTGTAATTTAAATATTTGCCTTAGGAAGTTTTAGTTGTTCTGTGTAAGTTATGTGTAATTCTTTTTTTAATATTTGACTTCGATTCGAAAACCAATTTTTCAAAACATTGGTTTTTGTATTAACCCTTCTTTAGACCTTTAAAACACAATAAATTTAAAAAAATATCTTTCTCTAAGCACATGTATACATAACCTTATAGTTAAAAATAAAGTAAGCAAATTGATGTTTTTTGCACATTTTATTGCATAAGTTTACAATTTTTGCACACACAAAATTCCTAAGCTCTTCCCCCCCCCCCTCCCCTTCCTCCAAAAAATACTTATACCATTCATTTTTTGGAGAGGTGGCAGAGGGGTATTGCCACCCAAATTATTTTCCTAGAATAACCCCTGTATATGGTAAAATTTAGTCAGATCAAACAATTATATATTAAATTTTTATAAATAATACATTAAATTAAATATAAAATAATCAAAAACTAATATTAATTTACTAATTACTTCTTTATTAACAACATTTTACAAATAAAAATATTTCTTTGTTAGTCATTATTTGATCATACCTCTTTATTTCATCTAATTCACCTCCAAATGCTACTACAGTTCGTATAGAACTTATAACTTCTTCTGCAACAGCTCCTGCTGCAGCATATGCTGTTTGCTCTTGAGTTGAAAAACTTCCAATTACTTTACCCATAATTCCACCACAAATCATTAACGCTGGTGATGTTGCCAAAATAACAAGAGTTAATTTCCAACTATAAAAAAACCCTACACCAAAGCCTCCAAAGAACATTGCCAATGCTTGTAAGGTCATTCCAACTTTATCTCCAATACCAGATTGAATCTTAACTAGATCACTTGAAAAAAAAAAAAAGCAGTGAAACTACAATAAAATGATGAAAATAAAAGAATAAAAATCCAATTTCTTGCTTGGTGTGTGTGTGTGTGTGTATATATATATATATATATATATATATATATATATTCCCTATTTGAATTTTACGTATGTATTCCAGGCTTGGTCGGGAAGCAGGAGCGATCGCTCTCGAATACTGACTACGGAAATTATATTTAGTTGCAAAAAACTGGCCAGGTTTTTTAGTCGTTTTGAGAACATTTAAGTTTGTGTACAAAACAAAAAATTTTCGTTTTACGGACATACATGGAAACATAATAAACTTGAATGTTCTCATAACATCTTTGTGCGAAAGAATAAAAAGAATATTCGCGAAACCTAAAAACCCGCCAAATTAACAAAGAAACTAATTTTATTGGTTCAAAAAATACGCTGACTTAGCGAAATAAAGTTCTAGAGTATTCTGTTAAAATGTTTTAGAAATTGTATTATTCATGATTTGTTACGTTTTGAGATTTCTAGCATAAAATGTTTTAAGAATATATATTATTTGTTTATCAAAATAAAAGTTTTAAATGAATATTAAATTGTCAAAATTTTAAAAGTTTATTATAAATTATAGATTTTATTAGTATATTCTTATTTTTTATTTAAAAAGTATGTATTATTTATGTAAATGTAATTTAGTTTATCTGTTTTTTTATTGTATTGTATCTTTTAAAGCAATTTTGATGATTTAAATAAAGATTTCCAAAAATAATTGCGTTTTCAATGAAGTTATAATCGTTATAATTAATAAAACTAATTATGTAACAAACATATAAGAAGTTTCTGGTTACTAAACACAAACAACGCGTACAAAGTAATTCGCGGATGAACAAGCACCGGGCCTGAGGTCACGACAAAACACAAATATATATAGCAAATAATTAGATCAGGCCTTCTCAGGAGACGCGTGCGGTCGCACGCCTTGAATGACCACGAATATATATTTTTTTGTTAATAACATGGCCACGATTTTTTTTGCATTTATAAAAAATGATGCATCTTAAAAACGCGCTAAAAAAACAAAATTAATTGCTCATCTTTTTTTAATTATTATTAATAATTCATTATTATAGTTATTAATGAGAAAATAAAAACATTAAAATAACATATATGGGCAATTCCATTTATAACTTATGTTACACGCGCAATAACTTTACCAAATATTAGCTTATTTAAACTTTTTAATTAAACTTTTAGCAATTTTGTATAAAAGCTGTTAGTCTAATAAATAAAATAAGCTTAAAAGTTTTGTGTTCGGCCGAAAGAAAGCAAACTTATTACTAAAAATGCCACTTGCACTGATGTTACACGGAAAACAAGGTAAAAAAACAAATTCAACTTATAGGTCTCATTTCTGCAAATCAGTAAATCAGTTTGTATTAGAAACTTTTACAAAATGCAGATAATTCTATACCAATTTAAAATTTTTATAAAAACTTTTTTTAAATAAACTTGTTTTTTTGATACTGTATTTTTTACTTAAATTACATCACTTACATTATCGAGCGGTTATCATGATTTTTTTAATCTATTATTAAGAGTTAGAGTTACGTAACAAAAGAATTGCATAAGTATTGAACTCATTCATTAGAAATAATTAACAAAGAAATTTTTTAAAAACTGGTGGCACTCTTCCTGAGTGATTTTTCATAACTTTCATGAAAGTTATCAAATCGGAAATAATTTTTTCGCAAGACCAAGAGTAACTTTAGAAAAATATTTTAGTTTTACATCTTTATTATTACTTAATTGAGTAATTGGTTTGTTGAAGTTTCTATTTACACTTCTTACGTTTATGCGTATTGCTTTATTTTTATAGGATTGAATTTTTATAATGCTGCTAAGCAGAGCTGGCGCGAGTAGAGGTCACGTGGGTGGGGGAGAGGGTGCTATAACAACTTTTGCCGTCTTAAAAATAAAAAAATATATAAAAAAAAAAGCCTCGTTTTTAAAAATTTACCGACTGCCATAACGACATTTGCCGACTGACTTAATTGACTAACCTATCGACAGAGTCTACATTTGCCGACTAACTAGTCAGGCCTTGCGATGAATAAGAACTGCGCGACGCATAAGCACGACGTGATATTTGACGTCATTAAATTCTTTTTATTTGCTTTTCATATTTATCGACATTAACTGCACCAATTTACTTAATTACCGCAAAACTACTTTAAATCGTTTATGTAGAAATGTTATTATTTAAAAATGTTTTGGAATGTTTCGTTTTTTAAAATGTAAAAACATTTGTTTATTTTCTCGACGTTTGTCACGTTTTGTCTAAACTAAACGAATAAAAAACATTATAACTTAAATTTAAAAAAGATTATAAAATATGCTAGTATTTGATTTTTTTTTTCTTAAATATGTAATTTAAAGTTTTTCAAATAATTATTTTTTTCTTTTTAAAAAGTCAGCGAGTAATAAACTGGAAATTTTAATATTGTACGATTAAAAACTGTGCATTAGCTAATATTTTTACAAGCGATTTTATATAATATTCTTTTATTTATTTTTATTTATTTTCATTAAGCGGTTGATAAGCACAATCACTCGTATTAATAAAAAACTTAAACGAACGTTTTGAATAGATTTTCAATGTTAACAAGGAATTTTATTTCTAGTAAAATAAAATAAAATGTTAGAATAAAAATCTTATAGGTATAAAAGAAATATTTCAGCGAAAAAATTATTCTTAAAAATTATTATTAAAAATAATTCGAAAAACTATTGACGTTTTATTTTTCAGCAGCTGTTCTTGAGCACGCTTCGTTGAGTTTCGGTAACTTTTAACATAAAAGCGATCGTTATTATTTAAGTAATTTTTTTGAGTTACTTTTTACAAAAATTTTAATAACTATACTTTTTTATTGAATCAAGTAGAATACGTTTTAATATTTATCCTTTTTTTTTTTATTTGCGCTCACCAATTTTTAAAATGTTTCCTCGAAATTACTCTTAAATACTTTAAATATGTCTAACAGTTAATAAATATTTTTAAATCTATGGAATAATTTCAAAACCTAACAAACCCCCGTAAAATAATTATTTAAGTTTAAAATCTAAAACTAAAAGAAAGTATTTTTGTTCAATTTTATCGACAACTGCTATTGCTGAATAATTTTATTAAAATGTTAGCTTAAAAGATTTGAACTTTTTTTTTAATCTGAATTTTTTCTACTTGTAAATAATGAGGATATTTAATTTTTTTTAATTCAAACTTTTATTTCAACTGCGTGCGGTTTTTAAAATACTTTATTAAATGTTAAAATAATCGTAAATTACTTCATTAAAATTCCGCTCAAAAATATCTTTAAATATACTCAAACAAAAAATTTTTTGCTCGACGCAAATAGCCCTAGCTACACGCAAAATCGCTCTTGGACGACGTAAAATTCACATCGCCCGACGCTTTATCGCAAGGCCTGACTAGTCAAAAAGGGTCACATTTGCCGACTAAGGGTCAAATTTGCAGACTAAAAATCATTGATGGGGGGGGGGGTCACACACCACACACACACACACACACCTATCGCGCCGGCTTTGCTACTAAGTTAAATTTTTAAATATTTAAATCTTTTCTAAACATCTATATGTCCACCAAAATAATAGTACATAAACAAACAAAAAAAAACAATAAAATAAATAATTTTAATACATATAAAAAAAAAAAAAATTTTTTTTTTAATTCTCCTTATATAAAAAGTTTCAGTTAAAACCTTGTCAAGCCAACAGGAAGAAATAATAATTACTTAATTCATTTAGTAAATAAAAACTTAACGAAAAATCGCCAGAATTTTATTAAATGCATGAAAACAAATAAAAATATGTATATTTATATATTATTTTTATCTTTTTATTTTATCATTAATTACAAATATATATATATATATGTGCATTATTGTTAGGTTTTAATTTTCTCATAAATAATTGTAATAATAAATTATTATTAATAAAAAAAAACCAATAAGATGACTAATTAGTTTGATTTTTTCAGCGCGTTTTTAAAATGCGTCACTTAATAAATGCAAAAAAAATCGTGGCCATGTTATCAACAAAAAAATATATATGCGTGGTCATTCAAGGCGTGCGACCGCACGCGTCTCCTGAGAAGGCCTGTTAGATATAAAAAAAAGTTACTAGATATTGGTTTACTAAATCTAATTATTTTCGCTTAAGTTGCCAGTCTTAAAACTCGTTATACTTTTTTCTGCTTTAAATACTAATTAAAATTAAAAAGCCCACACACTAAACATCATCAGCGATATTGTGAAGAAGTTTTGCTTCCTCGTCTTAAAGTATTTTTAACCTTTTTAGTTGATTTCTACCTTGTTAATTTAATTTCTAAAGTAATTCAATGATTTAATTATTTCATTTGTTTATCTTACTAAGAAAAATTGCTTTAAATATGTTTAATTTTTCAAACTACGCGAAACATAAATTAGGTATTGAAAAAATTAACTTTTTTATTTATAAAATAATTTAGCTTAAATAAAACTAAAACTTGCAAACTTTGTTAAATAAAGAATATTTGTTTCCTTTTTAAACATTCGTAAGTTGTTACTTTATATAAAAAACATCGCTCAATTTTATAAAAAATGTTTAGAAAATATTAGTTCTAAACGTAATTTATTTAACTTTAAGTTTTTTCTTTTTTTTTGTAATAAAATTAATCTTAAGCGCATTTTTTTTTTGCTTTTTAAAATGTTCTCAAAACAACTAAAAAATCTGGCTGGCTTTTCGCAACTAAATATTATTTACATGGTCAGCAATTGAGAGTGATCGCTCCCGCTTCCCGACCAAGCCTGGTATTCACGATTTTATGTACTCATTTCGCAATTTATGTTACGCAAAAACTTTTTTCAATAAGTTTATTTTTTAACAGTCATTTAAAACAAATTATGAGGAAAACATTAAATGTAATTAATTGTTGTAAAAAACTTTTGTGGAATATTTTTTTAATTAGATAAAAAAAAACAGATAGATATCCTTTTTCTATTTTCCGTTTTTGAAAAAAAATACGTTTTTAATTTTATTTTGTTAAATTTAAATTAATTTTATTATTCATTGTTTTAGTAAATTATTTGATTAAACTTAATTAAAATTCTTTTAAAAATTTCAATACAAATTTTTTTTTTACAATTTTTTTACTGATAAAATTTCCAAAATTTATGTTAAAGTAAAAAATAATAAATTTAATTCAAGTTACTTTAAAATGTTTGCATTACAAATAACTTCTTTTTAATTTCAGTTAAGTGGTCTGAATAATGCATTTTTATAAATTTATAAATGATGTCAATACAAAAAAAGTTTTTTCTAACTCGAGTTTAAATGTTATGCTTGGGTTTTCCTTTTTTAAATTTTATATAAAAGAATTTTTTTATTAAACGAACCAAACTTTAAACTGATTAAAAAGAACACATTCAATAAATTCTTTAAAAAAAAACTCTTTAAAAGCCTAACTTATATTTATTTTATTTTAAAAAAATTAATTTTTTTTAAACTTTTGCTATAAATATAAGATAGGTAAATTTCAAAATTATACTGATATTTGTTAAAAACAAGTTCTGGTATAATAACATCTTAAAACCGAAAAACTATTTTTCTTTTTGGACTTATTAAGAAATAGTAAAAATATATGAGGTTTCACAGTACATAAAAACAAAATATTTTAATGGAAATAAAAAAAACAAAGCCGAAAAGCGGTAATCTGTTTTAAATACAATTTTTATTTTATGGAAAGCCAATTAGCGCAAAGATTTTTTTAAAAAGGAGAAAACCCATTCTAATTGTGTACACTTAAATCAACCATAAACAAGTGTCCCTTCCTTTAAAAACAATTCCAAAATAGCATATTGAAACAAAAGTTCTTTTAACTAACATTCTATTCAACCAAAATTGATGAGTCAAGCAAGTTTTACATCTAAATCCTATCTAGATATTGATTTAAATAAGTTTTTTTATTTATCACTGACAACATTTTAATTCCCTAAATATTATATTTAATGCAATTCTAAATTACTATAAATATATGTATATAATACCTTACACCTTACACCTTGCACATAATAAAAATCAGTATTAATTTATTTAAAATAATCACAAAACAAAAAATCTTTAAACTATTTATCAATTGGTAATATAAAATTCATGACCAGTTTTGCAATTTTATTAGATGAAAAAAAAGGTTTTCAGTTTCAAGAAAACCAAACAAAATAATCACTTAACCGGTTGCAGTTTTCACCCTAAAGAAGTGATTTCACATAGAGCTGATTAACAAGTTTTATGCCTCTTTTTTGAAATGATTTGGTAGTTGTTTTATATTTTCTGCATTACAATTTTTTTTTTTTTTTGGCAACGATTGTCTGTTGATTAACAATGAATAATTTAAGAATCCTTTTCAGTTGTGATGAAGTCTCTTCTTTGGTATGAATAACCAGTTTTAAGTCTTTTTAAACTACTATGGCATTTATTTTGTGCTTTTCCTTCTTTTTTTTAAATGAATTACAATTTCACTTTTTTTTTAATTATGTTTTATTTAACAAAAAAAAATTATAGACATTTTAAAAAAGATTCTTGTTCTGCTGTATTTAACCTCATTTTTAATAAATTTGTTTTAAATTAAAAAATAAACACTTAAAAAACATTTTATGCATTTGGGTTAAACCACATTATTTTTTAATAAGTTGTAAAAATTAAAATAAAATTTATCTATATAACTTATGCATAACTCATTACAACTTAACCATTACATCTAAACTTACTCTGAAAGTCTTGTTGTCAATGTTCCAGGTTCATTAACATCAAACCATCCTACATCTTGTTTCAATATAGACGAGTAAAATTTCATTCGAATTTTATGAACCTGACGTGAAGCAGAAAAAGACCAAAGTGCAGCTTGAAAAAAAGAACAAACAAACATAGCAGCAGCAATGATGCAATAATACACAGCAAATCTTTTCATGGAACCTAATATGTCATATTGTTTATTCTTTCCAACATTAATAAACTCTTCAATTAATTTTCCAAATATAATAAACGACGCAGGTTGAGCAATCCCATTTCCAATAGATGCAAGAGTTGCAAAAAAAATGCACAAACAGTCATATCCATCTGCATATTGAAACTAAAGAATATTTAAAAAATTCAAAAACAATATAAATGTTTACGCCTAATTTAATCATACAATTGAACATCTTTATATCATATTATTATAAATTAACTTTATATTAAATGTTGATATTAGAGGAAATTTGGCAAGATGATACAGCAAATATATTTGCAGCAAAAATAATTTTGCCAAAAACAATTTTGTATTTTATTTGTGTAGCTTTTTTTATTTTTATACACACTGCAGTTTATGTAAAAATTCTTATTTATTTCATTCATAATATATTATTTCAAAAATTTTAGAACTTTTTGTAAAGTGATTGCAGAAATGCATATATTCTCTAAGTACTTTTTGCATAACCATCTTCCTATTTAAACCTGGATTAGGACAGAATACAGCAGTGTTAAATGATGGATTAAACTTTCATTTGTTTCAATCATTTCGATGAAATGAAAAACAGGTTATATTTGAAAATATAAAATGTTAATAAAATAGTGCCCAAAGTTTTATTCAAGTTAGATACTTTAAATCAAACAATTGAAAATTTTAAGAATTCAATCAGTTTAATCATAAAACAACGTGATTAAAAAATTAATTTTTTGATTATTTTAAGTATGCAATGACACTATTTTGCCAATAAACCTCAGATAAATGACAAAAAGATTCCTACTTAAACTTTTGGGCTTGTGCAGGAAAACTCCTAGCACTTCTATGAATGTAAATAAATATATATGCAGAACTGTAAAATGAAAAAAAAATACCAAAGATAGTAAAGGAACAGTGCCAACATCTTCCTTCTTTTCACTATCAAACCTGAATAAAAAAAAACAAGTTAACAATTACTAATTTTAATATTATTCACATTTTAGAAAATCAGGTTTTATGTTGAAAACCTGTGTTCTTTAATTATTGTAATGATATGTTTTCAGTAACAACTCAAAAAATCAAGAAGTTTAAAACTAATAAATGTTAAACTTTTAAATTTAACATTTCAATATATATCATAACAACGCTTATCACCCTCCTCTTAAAATATTCAAATAAGTTTATAAATCAAGTCTTTCAGATGCTTTACAATTTAAAGCTATAAATTATTATGTATTAGTCAATATAAGTTATAATATAAAATTACACAATAGTATACATAATATAAATTTTAATATATATATATATATATATATATATATATATATATATATATATATATATATATATATATATATTTATATATATATATATATATATATATATATATATATATATATATATATATATATATATATATATATATATATATATATATATATATATATATATATATATATATATATATATATATATATATATATATATATATATGTAGACCACACTGGTAAAACCACAGATGTCAGTGTTTAGTGACATGCGGTATGTGATATGCAGTAGTGGTGTAGTGATATGTGATATGCGGTAGTAATGTAGTGATATGCGGTAGAGGTGTAGTGATATGCGGTAGTGGTGTAGTGATATGCAGTAGTGATGTAGTGATATGCGGTAGTGGTGTAGTGGTAGAGCGCTCGCTTCATAAACGAGTGCTTCCGAGTTCGATCCCCACCACGTCCCTGGTAGTACCGCGCTCAACTTGTTTCTCCGCGCAGCGGCCTTGTTCGTCAAGGTTCGTGTTTCCGAGTTATAGAGTTGAGAGAGGGTTATAGCCACAAAATAAGTAGCCTCCTTGTCTGTAGTGGCCTTCTCGACAGTGAAAAGGTGAAGTAAAATAAAAATAAAATTGAAAAAAAAAAACATTAGATATCTGTTTATTAGTATATATTTAATTAAAAGTATATCTTTATGAATACACAATATATAAATGCAGTCTTTCTGCTAAATACAAGAATTATTTGCTCACAGTGTTCATTTGAAAACAAGACACTCATTTTAGACATCTGTGATTTTTCTGTTGTAAAATCATCAACTCATGAACCACCTTAGCTTGTAACGCTTTAGAGAATTTATTTTTTTAAAGGTAGATGGTAACACATTGTAATGTGTTACCATCTACAACCACTACATACTCAGTGTGTGATGTTAAAGCCATATGCCCATCCTTTCCCCTCTTCTTTTTATAAAAAAAAAATTCAAATAAAAAATTATTTGATAAACCATACAAAAGCTTTTTTGTATGTGTTTTTTTATATTCATGGAAAAATGAAATAAATTTTTCAAAATAAAATATAATATTATCAAATGTCTTATTTTGTCCACTTTAAAAATGTTTAGCTTTAAGAAGTCTTAAAAATTTTAACAAGAAAGAGGCAACAGGGCAATATATGCTTATTTCAGTTTATCAGGCACTTCGATCTTTGATCAAAACATATGGGATGTAACACGCATAAAACTAAATATTTCAAGTTTTCCATGTAATCAAATTTTTACAAGTCCTTAATATTTTAATTTCACTAAGTGAACATATCTTAAATGAACAACAACCATGTTTGGTTTGGCTTTGAAACACTGCAAATTTTAGAAATTTTTCTATTATCGTGTTTATATATAATACAGAAGTTTTATAAACATACTAAGTTATAAACATAAACATATTAAGTTATATAAACATATAAGTCATACAGAAGTTTTATAAACTTTGAGTTTTGTCAAATTTTTAAGTTTTATTAACTAGATAATAAAATCAATATGAAACTTTTCATTTTATATTTTACCTAGCACTATAGAGTATTTGCATTAAAAGAATACATTGAGCTACTTATTAAAAATCTTTTGGTGGAGAAAATCAAAATAACATATCTTAAAATGTAATTAGATATTTAATAGTAATACAATGTAAAAAATAGAGTTTAAATAGTTTGCACTTCATTTTAAAAGTGAATGTATTTAAGAAGGAAAATATTTTAGATCTACTTTTTTTTTTGTTTTACTAACTGGTAGTCCTTTGACCAGGTTTTGCTCTTTTTTTTAACTTTTTTTTTTGGCAGCAGTTTATACCCTAGGAAATGTTGGTATATTCAAGCGAAGCATACATGGCCATCAACGCCAGGGAGGTTAGGGGGTAATGTCTTTCTCTATTTTTCTTTGCGAGGATCTTTTGTTTTAGAAATATAGGCAATTATTTTAAAAATTATGGATTTTATTTTAGAAATAAAGGGGTTGACCCCCTCCAGTTTAAAGGCCCTGTCGACACTATTAGCATAAGACTATTTAAATCACGTTTTAAATAGAAAATCACTATTTTGTTCTATAAAATGAAAACTGTACATGTACCGATAAAATAATTATAACAAAAATTGTTGGTATTACATGGTAGAACACTAATAACGACCGAATTTCAAAGTAATCGGTAAGGCTTTGAGGTGTAAGTAGCAAAAAACTGATAAAACTTCAACTGAAACTGCAATAAATCCTACACCAGTCATCCAATCAGACTGAAATTTTGTCCAGAGTTTAGTGTTACTATTGGCTACATTTGCACCAATTTTTATCAAATTATATTGAGTGGTTCGCATTCTACAAGTATTTTATTGGCGCACTATGAAGTCAAAATTTGACTTAATTTGAATATACAAATTAAATTATTTTCCGCAGCAAAATTAAATGATTTCAAAATTTACATTACAGGGTACCTTGATGTGTACGCTAACTTTCTGTATAAGTGGCGTTCTTGGGACAGCTAGGTAGGTATTACAAGGATCAGTGCTAACCGTGTTTTTACTCTCACTTTAAGGGCAGGGGGGAGGCTAACATTTTAGGGTTTTTTCAGCCAGAATCTAATCATTTCGATTATTTTGCAAAGTATCTTTATTTGACATAAACATGAACAAATAAATGTTTGGAAAGTTCACCATGTCTGGAAGTCATCTATCTACAGCATTAAAAAAAGTTGTCTACAGCCTTGTATGTATATAGAATACCTATATTCTTGTTACTTTTGCCTCGCAATAAAATGACACCATTGTCACGTTAAACTTTTAAGAGAACTTCAAAATTGCTATGTGGCATAGCTGGATGCATAGCCGATTCGTAAGCGGTTTGCATTAACTTTCAATAAGCTTCAGTGACATCTGGGCTAATTGAATAGATTTTGTTTGTTTGTTTTCGCTACAAAGGAGGTTTAAAAAGATTTTCTAATTGTACTGCCTCTTTAAATGATGTTGTTTACCAATGCCTTTTTACTTAAAACAGAAATTAAAGAATTAAAACAAGTTTTTATGGCATTGTAGTTCTAACATCCTTGTTACATCCTAGATTTGTAATGTCTACAATATAGACACCATAAATATTTTTCATAGTAAAAATATAAATCAATATATTATCAGTATCACAACATCAGTTGGATACATCATAGAACCTGTATTTCCATGGTAAAACTGTTTGTAATGAGTTTATGGTACCTTTCGTACTCATTTCTTATCTCTCGCCTTTAACTCTAATTATCCGCTTTTATTGCACTGCAAAAAAGTACTTAAGAAGTTTTGTGGTATTTTAGTTGTAATTATGGAACAAGTTTAATGTAAGAATCAAATCATTTGTTTTAAAAAGGTAATGAATACCAGTGTGAAATTGTTTCCTTAATGTTGTCTAATTTTTAAAAACAAACGACCCCTAAAGATGCGTAAAATGGTATTGATGTTAAATTTGAAAAACTTAGATACACAAGTTTTTCAAACTTTTCAATACCAATGCACTGTATATTATATTATTTTGTCATCTATAGTATAGATGATGAAGTAATATAATATACAGTGCATTGGTGTAATAGATTTTTATAGTTTCAAGTTGTAGTGAAATACTGCAACTTTGCATTAGCAAATGATAAAATTACTCATAAATACCATTTATTACTTTAATAACTTGTAACATTTACAATAGTATAAATTTATTTTCAAAACAGATTAAAAAAGTTTTCTGTTTTGTTCCTTAAATTGCATCAAATATCGTTGCTGAAGAAAAAACACCCTAAAAATAAGAAAACAAAACATATAAAATAAATTGGACAATAATCTAGAAAGAATCACAGGCACATTTTTAAAAAATCGCTTGTGGTTCTTGACACATGTCATCAAATTACAATTCAGTTACAAAATCATCACACAACCCAGGTTCTTTGCCATAAACTGCCCAACAAAAATTAACTTTTCAAGAAGTATTAGCTACTCATGTAATTTTAATTCCAAAATGCTTACAATCATCCTGCAAAAAAAAAAAAACAGAAATGTAAGAAAAGCAACTGGTCAAGCTTTTACAGAAGAAGCATGGTTAAACAAGTTAAGAGAAGAAGAAGATGCAAAGCTATTAAAATAAACATATGTTGAAATTGCAGCAGCAGAAGTAAAAACTCCTACCAAGAAAACCAAACAAAAGTAAAAAAAGTGCTTAAAGTTTTTCGAAAATGAAATGCCAGAGATTCAAGTTTTAAGGAAAACTTGTGAAAAATCTAGTTGCAGTTCGTGGCGAAAAATTTTTTTGCACAAAAAGTTGCAGAAACTAGTTCATAAATTTTTTAATTTTATTTTAAGCTCAAGCTGCTTATGTTTTTTTATTTATTTTTTTTTTTCTAGTTTTTTTTTGCTTGTATAACTATTATGTGTATATTTTAACAATAAAAATAAAAATATTGAATTTATCAATTTATCTATGTTTTTTTAATATAATTTAAAACTGTCCGCTTTTAAAAACAATTCTCTAAAAAGCAGACCTTTTTTAAAAAAATAAAATCTTATTTTTCCTTAGAAACTTGTAATTAATTTTTTTTTTTTTTTACACTGCAGAATTGCTTTAATAAACAACTATATTCCAGAAAAAAGATCATACAAATTCTCAATATTAAAAATGTTATTTAGCTTTTTGTGAAGAGTGTCCGGTTTGCAGTACTTTTACTCTATACAACATTATATGTGATGATTACAAATTACTTAATTTAATATTTACATATATATACTAACCTACATATATATATATATATATATATATATATATATATATATATATATATATATATATATATATATATATATATATATATATATATATATATATATATATATATTTGACTGTTTGTCAGTCAATGTAGCAGCACTCCCTTGTCATTATTATTGTAGTTTTTTTAAAAAACAATAAAATTTAATGTACTAATGCATTAATTTAATTGTTTTGACATTTCGACGACAATAAAATACAGCTTAAGAGTCAAGGTAAAAAAATTGTAGTTGAAAGTCGAAAATTGTAGTCGATATAAAAAAATATATATATATATATTTTTATATCGTAGTCTTTCGACTACAATATGAAGATATATATATATATATATATATAAATATATATATATATATATATATATATATATATATATATATATATATACATATGCACGCACGTCATTAATGACATAATAATGCATTATTACTTATTAAAATTGTAATAATGACATAATAATGCATTATTACTTATTAAAATTGTTTTAATATATAAATGTGATATTTGTTATATTATTATTATTGTCATTATTATTGTTATTATTGCTATTATTATTATATTATATTATTAATATGATTGCTATTATTATTTAATTGGTGTTTACCTTAGATTAGTACTAGTACTATTTGTAAACAACCATAAAATGTAAACTTTTATTTTAGAATATATTGTCATTGTTATTGTTATTGTTGTATATACTATATATAAATGCATATATACTTATACATATATATGTAAATAGGGGTATATATGTAAATATTAAATTGAATATTTTCAAGTCACCACATGTAATTTTGTATGAGATACAAATAATTCTATAATTTATTGCATATAATTTTTTATATAAGTGTTAATATACACTTATGTACACATAAATGAATATATATTACATAATATAAGTGTATATTTGTTTATATTAAAGTGAATAATTCTTCACACACATATTTTCCCTTTTTTGGGTTTATCGAATTTATATACATATTAAGCAATTTATTTGTCTTACGGTTGAATTTAAACTTATTTCATTACTTGTTCTCTGGATTGTGAACAATAACCTTTGGCAAATCGTCTAGTGTCGTTTTTCCGTCGTTCTCGTGTTTTCCATTTTGTTGATCAAAAGCTTTTGTGTCATTTGTAATTTGACTCTTATTATCAAAATAAATTTCTGATTGTATACCCATAAAAAAACAAATTTACTTTTTTAAAAAGTAAACAAATATGTTAGTATAACCAAAACCAAGATAACGTAGTTTATATATTATATCAATAAGAGATGAATATATATTTTTATTATAATTTCAATTTCCGGTTAACAGGCTTCAGGCAATCAAAAAACATTTGTCATCAAGTAAATGCTTATAAAAGAAACTTATTAGCCGTTTTTTACGTAACTCATTTCTCTATATAATGTTGCTATAGTAATTATTACTATATTGCTTTATAACAATCCTTACATAACTAATTTTTGCTTTATCTTATTTTATGCTTCTTTTCACAATTTAATTATCTTACTTTATACTTACTTAAATTATATAATCTGTTCTTATTAAAAAAAATGTTTATTTATATTTTATTTTTAACAAGTTAAAAATATTTAACAAGATTTAAAACATCTTAAAATAATAATATTTTAGGTTTAATTTACAGGGACAACGACACGGGTTTTGAATGGGGGGGGCAATCATCAGTCTGTGAAAAATATCCTCTATATCAAGATTTTTTTTAATAAAAAAAAAATAAATAAATAAAAAAAAAAAAAAGTCCTCAATAAAAAAAGAGGGAGCACGTGCCCCCTGGCCCCCGGTGTCCTCGGCCCTGATTTAAACAGCAGAATTTTAATTACTTTGAACACGTTTCACATTAAAACACGAGCACCATTTAAAAACAACCAAGATGGAGTTTTAGTATCAAAATAATGATCTGTTTAATCTAGTGTTAATCTCTCTGCAAATATTATTTGTTGATTCAGTTCTTTTATTACGCCAGTTTAAAAATTTGCTGAAGCTTAACAAATTGTAAAATCTTTATAAAAGTTCACGGAACCAAAATGACAAATTAGCTTCTAGTGCAAAAATTGGTTTGTTGATGATGGGTACTATGTTAAGATTAAGACTTTTGTGTGCACAGGCGCACTACCCATTGAAAAAGAAAACCACCTCCCACATGGGTTCCATGTGGGTTCCGTGTGGCATTCATGGAATTTATATGGAACAGATTTTCCCATGTGGTATCCGTATGGAAATTTGCCACTTAAAACCCATATGGGTAAATCCCACATGAGTTACATGTGGTATTTACCCACATGGGATTTTCCCATGTGGTATCCCTATGGAATTTTGCTACTTCAAACTCATATGGGTAATCCCACATGGGTTACATGTGGGAACCATATGGTATTTACCCACATGGGAAATCCCACGTGGGTTTCTTGTGGGATTTACATGGGATTTTATTTGAAGGCTAGAAACTAAAATAATCTGAAAACATTACATTACTTTCGCGGTGAAGTTACATGCATCTTGTTTTAGTATAAAAATATCTTAAATTAATCTTAAAAAATGGCAAGCACTATAAATGTAAGTACTACAAATAATTTGTATCTCTCTTTATCGAATTAAGAGTCTTTGTTCAAATAAAAGTATTATTATGATGGTATAATAGTTATTTTAATATCAGTATATATAGTAAAAGAAATAAGTTTAAAATTCACATAATTTCCCTTTTTCTTTAATGAAAATGAAGAGAACAAAAAAAAAGGAAAGGGATTCAGTAACTTTTTATATTTAGGCTTAAAAACTCTAAATTTAAGATTTCATAAGGTAGGTATGCGGAAATAGCCGTTTTACGGAACCGAATTTTGTGCTAAAATTCTGTACCACGTTTTTTGAACTTTTTTTGAGGTAGTGTCAGACAAACGTTTTGTTGTGGTGTTTTTTTTAAGAAAAGTATATCAACATAGAATATTTTCGAAAAGAAGAGACTTGGTTCTGTATTTTTATGTATCAATTATGTATGGATAATTTACTTTTTGTTGACTTTATAGATATTGAAAATTTACTTGATGTTGTCACGTGAAATTTGTATTGATTGATAAAATGCTGAGACATTTTGCAAAACTACTGAGACATTTTTTTACATCTATTTTTTATTCACCTGCCAAATTTCAAGAAAAAATAATTTGTAGCAGATAATTTAAAAAGTGTAGCAGTTTTGGTACCTAAATTTTGCTTTCACAAATTTGCGATGGATGTTGTTGTGGTTGGGGGAGAAAGTCGGAATCTACATACTATGTATATAACAATTATATTATTGTTTTCGTTATTTATTAATTTCATTGTTTTATTTTTATTATTTAATCATAATTTAAGTGTATAATATAAATATACTATATTATGGTTTAAATATTCTTTTAGATAAAAAGCAGATATTTGTTTAACAATCATTGTCAATCTCATCAAAAATCAATCTCAGATTGATTTTTGTAAACAAAAAATTCATTTTTGTAAACAAAACAATCTCAGAAAGATTTTGAAAATCTTTGGATATCACTATATCTAGTAAGGTATTTATGTCTTTAATCGTGACATTTATATTTAAAAATTTTTGTATTATTTTTGTAGTTTTATTTTTCTGTTTCAAGCAAGGAATTTAAAAAAAATATCTTTATAATTCCTGTTATGTCTGAAACTGAAAAGTGTTATCCTTTAAACATTAGGATAATAATTTTAGCATGTTGTCAAATGTTCCAACAGGTAAAATTCCATTTTTGTTAGAGAAAATTACACAGTATTTTAGTGCGATTATTAATAACGTACCCATCACAGTACTGTTGAGCAAATGGCTCATGAATTAGGAAGTATATCAGAATTACAAGTAGCATAATGGGCTATCAGTAATTCTCAGCTTACTCTTGGATTTAATGCAACAACACAAGAGGGTGTTCATATAAATAGTGTTCACCTTACATCCAAAGATAAATGCCTTGTTATTGCTCTGTATCAATGCCCAAGAGGAACAGCTGATGATTACAAAAATCATATTTGTAGGGCAGTAGATCATCTAGCTTTTATTTATTCAGATTTTCATTTATGTAATTATGATGAGTGTCGTCAATTGAATATTGAAAATATTTCCAACACAATATCAGACAGTTGCATTTAACCATCTGAACATAAGCAAAGTTAGTGCAATTTAGGGTAAAACTCTGAATTAATTGAATTTTCATTTGCGCCCTCTTGATACAATTGCAACTGAATGGCGCTCAGCATTGAAGTATCTAGAGACAGAAAAGTGTAAATTATTTGGCAATGATTATGCAGTTGTCAAAATTGTTTTGGCTATGAATAAGATGATGTTTTAAGGCAGTAAAAGTGATCCAGAGGGAATTGTTACTTTTTTAGACCTCAAAAAACTACCTAGGTGTATCATCCCTAGATATTGAGAAAACAGTCTTCATATTTTCTTTTTAATACTTGCCATATATTTATTAAACACTATGCTGATTTTCTAAATTTTCTCATCACTGGAACAGTAAAATGTGTCAGTTTGCAAGCAGCTCTGCAAGAAGCATTTTATAATGCTACCGCTATAAAAAAAAAATGTGTGTGCTTGGTGTATTTGGGAAATTGCTAAGTGGTTCGTGGATGACAAAGTTTTATGTATCAGCTGAGGATGCAAATTTTGATCATCTCACCAGTATTCAGATTGTAAAAAATATTTTGGAAACAGTTAATGTTTGCAAATCTAATCCGACTGCACTGTTTTGCAGAGCAACAGATTTTTTGGGGGAAATGCTTCCCTCAAACATTTTTGAACCGATAACAAATTAATGCTGCTTTGATGACCAGGTTATCAACATGACTTCAGCTTGTCTTAATGCTGAAAAGGATGTATTGATTAGACAATGTAAAAGGTATTTCTCCTTTTCCATAACAGACACTCAAGCAGGAAATAGCTAGTGCAAGGTTTCACAATAGAGATAAAGAAGAATTAATTGGTATGTTTAGTGAATCTAAAGGAAGATCCCCTAACGCAACAAATTTATATAATTCTTGCAAAATAAGATGTAAAAAGGATAAAGCTATTTATTATCTTGATAGTTTAGATTACTAAGTAGAGAAAATGTAATTAATGGTCCATTTTCACAGCATGTAAAGAAAGAAAAAGAAATCGCCTACAACATGCTCAAATTTGATCTGTATTATATAAGAGACAGACATGCATACGTCAAATGTTTGATGAACAAGAAAAAAGGAAATTATAACAAAAACTTAAGTTAATGACTTTCAGCCAGATTAAGAATCTGATTTTGAACAATCTAAGTATACGATGGTAGAGTAGAAAAAGTAAAAAAAAGATTGCATGATAGAATTTACACTATCTCTTACTGGAAAAAAGATGAATCTGATTCTAAAGCTGGTGATTATTGCATGAAAAAATTCCAGCTGGCCCCAGAGTTGTATCAGAAGAATTTATTTTTTCTTAATGTTAATGTGTATTATTTGTTTTTAATGTTAATATGTATTGTTTTCATATTTGTAAGGTTTATTAAGTCCAAAATAGATACTGCAAATGTTAGAACTTGAAAAGTCTTAACATTTGAAAAGTATCGCAAGTGTTGCGACTTGCAGATAGGTAACCAGCAAGTGTTGTGACTTGTAAAATTGGTACCGCAAGTGTTGTGACTTGCACAAATTATTAATAGACAGCTCTGGCTTACCTTCTCGTTATGTCTTTTGTTAAAAACGATTATTATTTTGTTTCATTAGTGGGATTTCAAATTGTTTACTAAAAGCTAAGATAATTACAATGGGTATTTTGTTTACACTAAATTACATAATTTTAAGTATTGTATTTTTAAAACATTTTACATGTTTTTAGGTTAGGTGTTAAAGAATCAAACAGCCTTTTGCCTAAGAATTTTAACACTCTTACACATCTTGAATTAAAAATAAAAGTGTTAAAATTTAAATATAGTTAGTAGGGTATAATTTTACTTGAGGTGTGGGGGCGTGCGCCCGCCGCTACCCGCCCCCCCCCCTAAAAAAATTTTTTTTGTCAATTTTTTGTCAATGGTTAGTGATGTGTAACTCGAATCAAGGTGATGGGCGTACGCCCGCGCGGCACCGCCCCTCTATCCATTCTCCTTCTCCACCTAAAAAAAATACTTTACTACATTACAACTAGTTAACAAGTAATGTAGTAAAATATTTTTTTTTAGGTGGAGAAGAAGAATGGGGGAGGGGCGGTTTCTCGCGGGCGTATGCCCCTTACCTTGATTCGAGTTACACACCACTAACCGCTAGTTGTAAAGTACTGAAATTTAAATTTTATTTTTTGTTCTACATTACTTATTTAATTGGAGATAAAAATATTATTTTTA